GTTGTATTTTTTTTCTGAGGAGCCAGATTTTATGTATATATTACACATGTGTATATATATATATATGTTTTAATTATACTTCTCTATCCTTTCTCATGATTTACTTCCTTGTAGAAAAGAGGTTGCAATGGCTTTTCAGAAGGAGTTTGTGATTTTTGTGGGAGTTGGAACTAGATGATCTTTAAGGTCCCTTCCAACCCAAACCATTCTATGATTTTTGTGGGAGCTCCTCTTGCCTTGGTGGGGCAGCTGCGGCCCGGGCACATTGGGGTGCAACAGCCCTCACACACGAGCGCTGCACCGCAGCTGCAAGCGTAGGGACAGATGCTCATGGGTGAGCATGCCCCGCTGTGGGCTCCCTGCTCAGATCTCTGTGCTGCTCCCTACCCTCTGCTTCCAGAGCTGCTGGCTTTGCCTGCTGCAGGCCCCTCTTCCTATGCAGAATCTGACTTGTTTTTCCTTTCTGCTGTCGCTTCTTGATCGCCAAAGTTTGATTTCTGGTCTTCTGGGTGATGGAGGCCCTGCTGCTGCCAGAGGCTGGCTGGGGACAAGGATGTGCTGCAGGGAGGCCAAGCTGAGAGCAGATCTCAACTCTGCACCATCCCCACCTAGAGCAGGGAAACACAGTGTTCAAGGCAGACAAATTCTGTTCCTGGCTTTGTGGTGGGGTTGCCATGTAACCTTGTTCAGCTTCACTTCTGCATGGACAAACCTGAGGTTCACCTCCTAGGTCTCAAGGTGCACAAAAAGCTGTGAGCATAGTGTGGCCATCCAGTGCCAAGCTGTGCCGACCCGGGCATCGTGCAGGGCTGAGCACTGCCTGGGCATCAGGACAAACACAGAGCTGGCACTTCAGTGGCATGTGGGAAGCCCAAAGGGAGTGGGATGTACAGCTAAGAAAACCTGTCCTGATGTTCCTCAGCCATGTCCTGTACGGCAAAGTACTGGAGAGCGAGTCCACTAAGTTATGCGAAGAGAGCTGTGTGCAAATCTCCTGGTCCCATTGCCGGAACCATGGGGCAGGAGAAGGAGGTAAAGTGCCTGGGAGCACAGCAAGGTAAGTGTGTCCCCTTACCAGCCTCTGGGCTGACACCTAAAATGTGATGAAACAGCTGCACTGGGCTTCCCTTGAAATGTTTTGGGTTTGGATCAGGCAGCAGAAGGAACTGGGATCCTCCTGGCACAAAATCCAGCTGCCTCGCAGCAGCTGGAAGCTCAACCACAAACATGGACCTGCTGTCGCACCTCGCTCATGCACCAGGTGGGTAACTGGGCTTCTTCGAGACGTGACAGCCTCAGCACCTGCCTACACACCAGGTACCGGCAGGAATCACCTTAGTGGGCAAAGCACCTGAGATGTGTTACAGCCTGACGGGAAGGTGAACAGCTGGAAGGAGCAAGTTCTTACGGCTAAGTGATATTTACTACTCCTTCAGCTGGCCACTGGGGTGCGGCACCCTGCTGCAACGTTGGTCCCACCAGCCGCTGCCCTTTGCCCCGTTGGTGGATGCAGCTCGCAGGCAGTGAGCAGAGTTACAGCAACTCAAGTTGTATCTTGATGTGCAAGTGGGGAAGGAGCCTTGTTCCTGGCTGTTAAAAAAATAACTTTTTGTTTATTGTAAGGAGCAAGTCTAAATACTTCAGGTGGCCTGCTTCTGAGAGAGAGACCTGGCAGCTACAAAGAGTAGTCCTTTATTTGTGCAACCGGATTGTGGAAAGCAGAGCAGGTTCTGATGACTGGAAAAAACTTCCCACATCCCTAAGAGCGAAGATGCTGTGCGGTTTGCCCGAGTCGGGGCTCTCGCCAGCTTCTGCCGCCTGCACTACTATGCGGGAAGAGTAAAAACAGTGGCCATGAGGGCGCTGCAGTAAATCAGCCTTTTGGCCAGAGGAGCAACCGTGCCATGATGACACTTATCCCTCATAGCACCTCTTACCTTTGCTCTTTGGGTGACAGCACCTGTTCTACCTGGAGCTGGCTTCTCTATAAAAATTCCAAAAGTATTTTGAAGGGTGCAAAATAACAGCCTGTTGTTGTTCAGCCTGGAGAGGAGAAGGCTCTGGGGAAACCTTCTAGCAGCCTTCCAGTACCTGAAGGGGGCCTACAAGAAAGCTGCAGAGGGACTTTTTCCAAGGGCGTGTAGTGATAGGACAAGGGGCAATGGATTTAAACTGAAAGAGGGCAGATTTCGATTAGATATAAGGAAGAAATTTTTCACTCGGAGCGTGATGAGGCACTGGAACAGGTTGCCCAGAGAAGTTGTGGCTGCCCCACCCCTGGAAGTGTTCAAGGCCAGGCTGGATGAGGCTTCGAGCAACCTGGTGTAGTGGAAGGTGTCCCTGCCCATGGCAGGGGGGGTGGGGCCAGGGAATCTTTAAGGTCCCTTCCAACCCATACCACTCCATGAGTCTATGTCTACCTAAGAGTGTTTGGGGTCGATGGGAGGGGTGCATCTCCCTACCCAAGCAGCCCGGAAGGGATCAGACTCAACCACAGGGAAAGCAAAACCTGTTTGTTGCAGAGTATTTTGTGTAGGGCTGAGTTTATGGCAAAACCTGCCCTGTTACTGCTGCCAGCTGAACAGAGCCACACCCAGCCCGTTGCTCCTGAAGATGGGGCCTTCACAGCAAAGTGCTGCTTTTTCAAACCAGGGGCTGATTATCATCTCTTGATGACTCACTCGGTCTGACACCCACGGGTACAAATCGCTGACTCTCCCTCCTGCCAGCTGGGCAGCGGGTTCGCTCTCGAGCACTGCTGCAGCTCTCCGTTTGGCACCTCCTAACAAGGGTAATTTTGCCTTCCTGATCTGCTGATGTCTGTCATTTTTTACCTCAAACTGCGTTAACCTCTGTTTCAGCTGACATTCAAGCTGGAATGTATTAACAGAAAAAGTATCTTCTGGGACTACTTTTAGGTTTCTAGTTTAATCACCAGAGATTGATTAAAACTGTCCTAAAATGAACAGTGACGCTACCTATCTGTGAAAATCCATTCGTCTATTTTCTCATGGATGAATGATTTGGCAAGAACACCCCATTTAAAAATCTCTTGACTTTTCAAGGCTTTTTGTCTTTTTCATGATGTCTGATTGTCTCCTAAATTTACTAAACTATATTTTTATTACTATTTACTGTTGTAAAGATTCTGACTTTTTTCTTTGGTGTCAAAATGAGCTCTACAAATGAGATACAGACTTCAGCAGTCAAGACTGTTTCTTAGAAGGTACCTAAAGAGCTTCTAATATTTGGGGTTTTTGGTGGCACACAGCAAGATTTAACTCATCGAGAGCTTCTGTGATGGGGTGGCTTTTGACATTGGCTCTTAACTATAGTTTTCAAGTGACTGAGACTATTTTAAAATTACACAGCTGTTTTTTATGCTTTCTTTTAGCAAAATAACTTTTTCCTCATCTGTGTATTATTAATAAAATCCTCCAACTTAATACTGTTATTAAAAACACTCTGCACTCTATTAAATGAAAATCTACCCAGTTTTCTAAACCACATCAGGAAGTTGCACACAAACAGAGCATCTCCTCTGAAAATCCTGAAGGACAGTGGAGAACATGAAAAGACTGACATCACTAACACACAAACTGGTGAACACAAACACCTTGCCACCATGACTGAAGAATGAAGTTGGCACTTTGCTGGGTAAGTACAATTGGTTATGCATAGATTAGATGAGCTACATGCCACTCTTGAAGACATGACAATCTCATAAAAAGAGGATGTTTGAAAAGGAAAAACATCAGTAGTATGGATGGTGCTTTAGGAATTAGAAGCCTCATTTTTGGCACTCTAGTTCAAGACAAAACTCATAATCCCCATGTTAGGCTTGTAATTATAAAGAGTGTAGAACCAGAAAAGACAATCCATAATTGTACTTTTCAAGAAAAAAAATTTATTTTTTTTAATTAATACACACCTGAGAAAAATTTTCATTAGAACAACATTCTTAATATTTCTGCAGTGCTAGTGAGTTTGATACACATTTATATCACGTGTGCAAAACAGGCATTGGCTTAACTGAAAAATTTAAAAGCTTCATCTTGGAAAAAAGGAGCTTTATCAGAATCAAATATAAAACCTAAGTACTGCCTGAAATAATTATTTAAAAAAAAAACATATTAGTCCACAAAATTGCTTTACTTTTAGCTTTTTGAATATGTCTGTAAACAGAAATAGCTGGTGTGTTAAATAATCTGATTACAAAACTCAGAGTTAAATATTTTTGTTGCTAAGTGCAGCCACTTCTCCTGTTTACCACTGTCACTTCAAAAGCCATGCAAACCAGAAGTCCTTATACACACACAGAAAAAAAATAATTCTCTGTGCACTAAAAGTTGCTTGCTTGTTAACCATTTTAAAAACATACTGTTTATTTAATAATTAATTATTTTGACTCAGTGTTCCATGACAAGCTAATGACAAGCTAAATTCATTCACCTTTGCTGCTAAGCTGTGTTGCACCAAAAATATTTAAATCTGTTTTGTATAGATCAGGGATAGCAAAGAAACAGATGGCCTGTAGTAGTTTATCTGAAAAATGTTAATACTTTTTGTAAACTCATTTTAGCAAAGCTATTGCTAACTGACCCGTTTAATCTGAAGACATTTCTTTATCACAAGAACATACAACTCACAAAATAACAAGTGATGACCAAAAGTGTATTATCTATCGTACCATCAAGATATTTCACATTATATATATATAATGCAAATATAATTAACAGAGTCTACATAAAATTAGTATGCCAAATAACATGAACTCTGTTACTGAACACAAAGACGCGCATTAAATTCTGCAGATTAAAAATGTATACACCTACAAGATAAAAAGAGCAGCAAGTTTTAAATGTGCATATGCTGTCGAAACAGAATAGAAGTCAAAGAGTTCGGGTAAAGACCCACTTCAACCCATGCAACTCTGCAGAGTCGATACATCCACCTTATAAACACGAACCATACCCATGCAGCCAATAAATTTTAACTTCTTAAAGTTCATAAACCTTTTTAAGGCTCTCAAGATCTTCCAAGGAGTACTGATGATTCTGGTTTTCCAAAAGTAAGTCAAACAGTTGCCGAACCTGTTCTTTTTCATTTTTGTTAAGAAGGGCCAGCACCACCTAAAAAACACAGGTTATTTTGTAATTACTACAGGTTGACTGAAAATCACAGTACTTTACAGAGATACAAAATCAATGCAGCATTTTATTTTAAGACATGAAAACTTCCTTTAGGTTTCTGTTCAATTTAAGTACACATTCAATCTAGGTTCTTACCTTAAATCTTTCTGCTTTGCTCAAGTAGAAAAGGTGCTGATATACAAGGCCAGGATCTTTTCCAACTACGTAATATTCCAATGACTGGATAAAAATCAAAAATATTTCTCCTTCAAGTTTGTTACTTAGCAGCACTGGCAATTTTTTGGGATCAGTAATTGTTAAAAGATCTGCACAAGCAGCTTTATCCTTGCTGGTATTCACTGCGTTTATTATCTGACCAAAGTCATAAGCATTAGATGGTTCAGAAACACACAGTTTCTCAGAGGTCTTCAGTGGCACACAGTTTTGAACTGCTTCCTTAGAAGTAACATGATCAGTCACAACATCTTCTGGTACAGCAAACTCTCTCTCTTCCTGTTCATCAGATTCAGTCACCTTCACAAAGAAAATGGCAACAAACCATTTTAATGTGGATAACGTGAAGCTTCATAAACTGTATGCATATATCTATCGATAATGTCACTAAATCAAAGTTAGCGCTTTACTCCTCACAAAGGAAAGGCATCTATGTTCCTTTATGTCCTACTTCCCCCCCAGAACAGCACCTCTCTAAATCATCTTTTAAGGTTTGTATTCAAAAGTGTGTATTTTACATTTCCTTTCACTGCCGGGCACTCCACTGTAGGAAGACAACTGAGGACCACTGGGAGAAAGCTAAGGAGGACACATATTAAATGTGAAGTTGCAGAAGACAAGCAGAACTGCAGTTTAGTCACCATCCATGTTTCGTTTCACTGCTGGGCCTTCACAACAGTACAGGTACATGGCAGCTGTATCAGGTTGCTGTTTGCAGTCTCGCTGCAGAAGGAGAAACCTCAGCACAGTCTAACTGCTTGAATAGCCACTTAACTTCTCTGGAGTTTGCAGCCTGTACTGGGTTTCAAAAATTAGTCGCTAGAAAATGAACCATAGGTTCAACTGTATTTGCTAAAATCCATTTCAAGCTCTGAAGAGTTGTGGAATTAGCATAAACTGACTAAGTTCTCATTGAATGTGGTCTCTTCAACAGATGCCAAGGTTTCTGGAAAGCCTGAAGATACGGTACTGCGTAGTACAGTTTTGTGCTGTGAGCTTAGATTAGGCATTTTTGGAAAATACTGCACTGGGCTTACAGACATTTTATTCTACGTTTTCAACAATTCTCAGCATCAAGAGAGAAATCCTGACTGCCTTACATACAATTATACCTTTATTAAAACAAAATAATAAAGATAAATCCCAGTTTCTATTAAAATTTTCCATACGTTTCTTCGCAGTCTGTTTTCATAGAACTACCTTGTACTACAGCACGTAAGACAGGGAGGGCTCGCTCAGGGGGCAGCTGTCATTATGACAGCAAACATAAATGCCTCCTGCCCCACTCCTGGAAAAATTACCACTGCCAGTCATGTAGTAAGCTGGTCTCTGAACAACGCAGTCACTTCCCAAACCTCCTCTAAACACTCTCCAGATCCTTTTATTTGTCATAACTCAGAGCTTAACTAACACTATACCCGGCTTATGGTAGTTACATAAAATCCCATGAACTCGTGACAATGTGAAGTGTTTCAATAAAAAAAGTTGTTTCTGTATTAATAACTGCAGTTTCCATTGTACCACCATTTTGAAATCACATTCACAAATTACAGTATCACTGTACAGACTGGTAACTATGTATTTTAACTATGTATTTTAAAATGAAAGGGAAAAAAATCCCATTCTTAAAGGACCAGCAAAGCTACAAAAATATTAGATGACTGAGAAAATCCTTTATCGCCTATTTCTACCCAGAACTCTGCAATGCTAACACACTGATCCAGTACACAGCATTACCTCACGTATTCCTTTTGCAAGATCCTACAGATACCCATACTCTTGCTCTTTAAGGCAGGATTTCACTCCTCAGACCAGTAACTTTACTACTAGCACAAGAACAGACAGCACGCCTGCTGACAATGAATCTCTGCCAGCACAGCCCCAGAGGCTTCCCGAGGAGCACAGACTTTAAAACTAAAACTGCTATTTGACAGCTGTATTCTGCAGAACAAGTCTTTCGAAGTTGAAGCAGCTGTTGCTTACAAGGAGCATATTCTCAAGTTTCATGCCATCTAAATGTACTTTTTTCTATTTCTGCTGTAGTTCTGAATACACTTCAAAGCAGTCCAAGCTTTACTATAGAGCATAATGGACACTTAACACATCACATGCAAGAATCCTCCCATATGCCCTCAAAATAACACGAAAAATATGACCCCACCCCCCAAAAACGCACAGCTAAGAAGTGCAAAACAAAAGCTTTAATATTATCTCTTCAAATGTGTGGCTTCTGTACCGTCTTTTTAAAATGAACCAGTATACCTCTTGAATGGTTATTTTCTTCCTTCGCTTCTGTTGACTGCCAGCCACAGCACTGCTGTCAAGGTTAAGCAGCTGGGTTACCTCCTCTAGTTCCTTTTTTGCTTCAAGAACGTTTGGATCTATTAGAAGTACTCTTTTGAAATCATCAACACTGGCTTGATAATTCTGTTAAGTAGAAGGGAAAATAATTTTTTTCATAAGCAAACCACTAGAAAAATAGATCTGAACTACCTTGTCCTTTACGATTAAGAAAAATAAAAATGCTAGAATCTTCACATTAAGTATACAAAAATAACCTAAGTACAGACTGTGTAATTTCATTAGAAGGAAAAAAGGAAACTAAGGATGAGTTTGAGTTAGCATTTTGTAACTAAATACTTCTGTATTAAATGTGTAATATGAAATAATTTGTTCTGAGAAATATATACCCTGTATTGGAGAACAGATTATTGAAGACTGCTGCTTTTAAGCATGATTGCTTACAGTGTAACACTTTCTCCAGATTAATACGAGTCCATCAACAGTTTGCGTACTTGCTTTGTCAATAAAAGAGAGTTAAATTGATCTTAGATTAAAAATATGCCTAATCTTCATGGGTTTCAATCCAACAGACCATCTCTTACAGTTTGAGAAGGCAAATTTTTGGTAATAGTGGAGAAGATCTGGATTATGTTATGAACTCGGGGATAAACAGGATTAGAAGGACAGACAGAGTGGCAGCAGGACACTTCCTCAATAATCAGTCTTGTCATTTGTTTAATGTTTTTAATTCAAATTTTGACATTAGGAATGATGATTTTTTTAGACTGAATTTTCTGGAGGGACAAAGTTAATAGCAACAATTCTGAGGAAGACTGGAATATCACATAGAAAAATCAAGACACCCTGAGGGCTGAAGTATCAAAAATCAGGGTGAAATGTAGTAGTAAACAGTAAAAAAACACGCAGACAGTAAAAGAACAACATAACTTCTTTGTGTGAGGGACTTAATATTTCTTCTGTTCCCAAGCAGTATCATAAGGTTACTCTAAATCATTCAGATTACCATGAAAATAATCCTCATGTACCAGCTGAGGTATTTCCTCAGCATCTCAACTGTAATAAAAGCACCAGTGTACAAGTCACTCATATTCTCTTTCCTACAAAGAGTATTTTGTTCCACACTGATGACCAGCATTCGAGGTGCAAAGACGCCGCAGGAAGTCTGTAAGTGAACTGAACCCTGCTGTATCATGAAAGAAGAGGAAGAGAACTAGAATTTGCTAGCCTTAGCAAATGAATGCAGAAGGGGGGCAGAATGCTTTCACCAGAGAACAGCTACTAATTAAGCTAAACCATGTGAATTACAGAGGTGAAGATTCCCAATTACAGAAAAATGAGATTCTGGAACAGACTTCTGAAAACCATCACAAGTATCAGCAAACAACCAACCCTCCTGGATTTAAAACAGCAGCCAGCCAGACTTCTCAACGAAAATCACATGATGGTTGTAACCAAAGCAAGAGACTGACTATGAGCTGTAGGAGATGTAGTCCGGGGTCCTATGTTCTACATTATAGGCCTAATTCATCACACAAGCATGACTTTTTCCTGATTTTCCCTTAAATGTATCTCAGCAAATCCACAACTTCCCCCTCATCTACTCCATGAAATTCCACTGCAGCTTCTGTGGTTAAATATTTATATATACAAATAACACTTCCCAGCTTAGTTAGGTCTTTGCCAAACTACATGCTTTTAGCTCTTGAATTTTTTCATTACAGAGTCATTTGTCAACCTCAAATGACCTTTGTTGCTTTCTCTGTTTTACGAATCCCTCACATCCCTGGCATTGGCAACAATGAAGGCATTAAATCCAACCACAACAAAACATTTTGGGAGTCCCCAGCTCAGACTGTTCTGAAGGAATCCATGAACAGTGTGTTTCAGGTTATGTCTTCAATGATACAAAAATTGCATTTTTTTTCTAGGATATTAAAAAAAGTAGAAGTTATTTTTCCATTACTTGACATTCTTCACTAGTGTGTAATTCCTTTTTTTTTTGACTGATAGAATCACTATATACCTTTGCTCATATTCATACTAATTTTTTATCAACTTCAAGAACGTTAGGTTACAGATGATTCATACCATGTAGCTTGGTACAGTTACAGAAGAGATTTTAAACAAAATTAAGACTTTTCACCTCTTTGAAAATTAATCAAAGCAAACTTTCAGTTTCATAGCTACTGTAACAGAGCAACAAACTTCTCACCAACAAAAGATCCCATGGTTCCTATGACTTGCATTTGGAATTGTAACATGGGATGAGAATAGGCTAGTACACTGCTAAGCACAAAAAGATTGTCCTCAGGTGATTTGTAAGCTGAGAGACAATCAGGTAATTTCTTGTTAAGGCATCAAACATAACAGAGGTCTGAGGTAAGTATTCATCCGATGGACACTGCTGGAACTTGGTGGACACTTGGAGTGATCACCTCCAGTTATAAAGAGCAATATGGCAGAAAGCACTTAAGATGATCTTTTAAAGGCACCTGTAAAATTTAAACCAAAGTAGATGATGGCAGCTGCCAGCATGAGCCAACACTAGCGAGAAGCTGATAATTCAGTATCAGGTAAGAGCTGACAGGTAGGGTAAGGACTGCCGTGAAAGAATTATGAAGTGTGTGAAAGAATTATGAAGCTAATTAACATCACTGAAGAAGGGGAACCAACAGAAGGATGGACAAAAGGAACAACACAGTTCAAGTGATGGAACACAAGATTTGCAGTCACATTCAGGACGGATATGAGCAATGTAAGTCTGCATTTATGAAGATCAGGTAAAAGGACACTCAAATAACTGCGTGAAAGATGAGCACAGTACAGACAACACCACCACCGTGTAGATGGAAAGGAAAAGGTTGAGTCCCACACTGCCCACCGAGTAACACAGCAGATTACCGACAAAGGTTCATCATGTGTTTGGAGGAGAGAGAGAACAAACGTAATTAAAACCCCAGTTCAATACGACAAGCATTCAAATATGAGCAGATGCCAAAAGACACAGCTTGAGATTTTAGTTTGGACAGATGAAGACAGACTTGGAGAGAATCCACTTGTCGTCAGCAAAGATATAGTAACAGACTGGGATACCCAGAAGAACGTTAGAACGGAGGTGAAACTTGCTTAACCAACCTCCAGTCAAACCTCATTTATTTCAATATTCTTATATATTCTCAAATTATTACAAATGAACATGCAGGGTTTTATGTTGCAAAAATATTTATGTATTTTATGTATGACTAATGCTCTACAAAGCAATAAATCATCAGCACTGCATACTTTGTATTCACCCATCTTGTGCAACTACCCGATTGCCTCTGAAGAGGATGAGCAAGTTTAGAAGTGTTTAAGAATACCTGCTATGTTCTTTTTTCTCACCTGTAATCCTTTGTACGCTAGTGCTCTTCTATAAAAAGCTTTAACATTAGAATCTTCTAGCTGAAGAACATGATCACAATCCTGCTTAGCCTCTTCATACTTATACAGTTTCAAGTAACAGAGAGCTCTAACACAGAAAAACAGAATACACTGCAATATAAGTAAATTCTAACATGCTGTGGTGCCAACAGTATCCGACTCATAAATGTTAATCACAATACTTCACACAATTCAGTCTCAACATGGTATTTTTCAAAGTACATCAAAACCAGTAAGTATTAATAACATCACTGGATGGATTTAGAGAAGGCCAATTCCTGCAATAGAAGTCAAAACTCAAGTATGACTAATGTTTGAAGACAGGCAGATATGTAAGCACTTTAACAGCAGAGCCTACGTTAGTGTAACATGGTGGTATAGTATAGTATGGATTTTATACAGCTACTCTGAATAAAAAAGTGCTCTTGATTAAATAGGCAATCCTGCTTTCTGCACCTAATTATTACTTGGAAGTCTCCTATTCCAGTACTGGCCTAATCAAATCCTTCTTAGTTTGTGAAAGCTTAAAGAATTATGCTGCAGAAGTAGGTCAACCTTTAAACTAATATTGTTGTATGACCGTGTTCCTACTTTAATTTTCTCAAAATGTACATTTTCTCTGAACAATTACTCTTCATATTTGAGATACTGCTACTGCACGTTAGTTTTTAATTAAAATCATACCAGTATTCTCAAAAAATGCTGCAAAATGCTATGTTAATTATAACTTTTAGTACTGCTTATTACATGTACATGAAGATTTTGAGATATGTATCAGTGACCTGAATACTTACTTCCCTTGGAAAATCATGCACTTTGACAAAAAATCAATTTTATTAGTAACACTCATCAAGTCAGAAAAAAAAAGTCCTTTTTTCACGACAGTGACTGAAGGGATGCAAAAATCTCTATTTGCAGTGAGAAAACATAACTATTGTTATCCCACAAAGCAGGGTTTGATTTTGGATCTTTACCTGTTTGTGTAGATCGTACATTCCTCGGTGTTTAACTTCATGCATTCGCTGTATTTATTTACAGCTTCTTCATATTTACCCTTTTTTACAAAATCATTCCCTTCATTTTTTAATGTCTTGAACTTCTCCTCAACTTTCTCACCTACATTACAAAAAGATCACAGTGTTACATAAGAAGGTCAGTTCATTAAGGGTAGCTCAATAACCTACCCAGACTAAAAATAAATGCCTGGCAACTGGAGTGTCCTTGTCAGTCTGCACATTGCCGTTTCTGTCCCAGATCTCCCTGCTGCTCTAAGGCATAAATTTACCACATCTACATTAGGCACAACACATACTTCCCTAAGCACCAGGGTAGCTTTTTTGTTGAAAATGATGGGAATGCAACAGACAGATCTACACTATCACCTTCTTCTATCTACCTCTTTTGTGTGGTAGAGAGCGACTATGTGTCTCCATTGAGATATTAGTTTCATTTACAAGGGTGGAGACTTAATCAGCAGGATTACAGGCCTTCTAGATCTCCACCATCATGCCAGGGCGGCCATAATTTGATCTAATATTCTTTCTGCAAGCCACTATCTATCACAATTACTGTGCTAAACTGACAATGAACAAACAAGTCATCACATCAGTAGGGGTTAGTGATACATCAGTAATAGTCTGTCCATAACTATTCATAAAAGGTGCTTTGAGGAACCTGAAAACACCTAACTAAACTTTTTATTAATATTGTGTTCTTCCATAATTGTCTTTCCTTCTAAACTCATCATTTGTTGCATGTGCTTCTGGGTTAGACTACAATTTTAATCTATGTTTTCAGTGGAAAAACAATCCTGACTGTAGTTTCATGTCTCTGTTGTGAGCAAACAATAATTACTAACACAGCCCTATGTAAATCATAATGGAAAAATCTACTTTTTGTACCTTGGTAAACAATATGTGCCCATTGCCAAGCTTCAGGTTTTAAACACTGTATATAACCAGATAATTTTAACCAATAATTAAATTCAGTGAGTTCTTTTATAAAAACATGGCAGCCTCCTATGCCAGAAAACTACATGTGGACTTGGGGAAAAAAATTAAGTAACGACGTGAAACCAGAACAGACTCATGCAAGAAACACAACTAAATTATAACTCAAGTTGTAAGACACAAAAAACAACAGTAATTGTTGCAAAAAAATGTCAGCCAACAGCAAGGTTTAACTGCTGGCACGCTTTCAGCACCAGTTATCACTGTCAGGGCCCACTGATTTGGTACAGGCCTGAGAACCACAGAACGGTTTGGGCTGGAAGGGACCTTAAAGATCATCTAGTTCCAACCCCTCTGCCATGGGTAGGGACACACCTTCCACTAGATCAGCTCGCTCAACCACAACCACAACCTTAAGAGTCAGCCTTCAGTGAAGAAAATGGTTACACGGTCTTAATATTTCTAAAAACATAGAAATATGACTACTAAATGGCCACTGTTGAAGCTAAAATTCATCATAAAAAAAAAAAAAAATCTGAATCGTTCCTCTATAGCCCATTTCACTAACTACTGGCCACCTAGAAGTCTACCCTTTCTGTTTTGAAGAGCTGAGCAATGCTTTCACAAACAATTAAATGACAGCTACAGATTTTGCAGCTGATTATGTTACTAAGGTTGGCTGGCTGGTTGAGTGGTTGTTTGTTTGGGAGAAAACTGTGTTATAACTGTAGTATGGTATCAGGGAAACCACCAATACTTATGATGGGACTAAATATACTGCTGATGAATATTTCTGCCATATTTTATTTTATGTAACTTCAGAACTCACATGCTGCAAACTACATCACTTGGCTTAAAAAAATTTATCCTAACTGGCTCCATAAAGCATAAAAAACCAATCATGTAAATGATCATCATCTAACTTGGCTTTTCAAAAAAGACCCCGATAAATATTTTCACAAGCAGTTTCTTTGACATTATTAAATCGTATTCCAATTAAAATTATTTTCTTTTTTGTATACATATTTCTATCAGCTATACATACGATTCATCTGCAACTGTTCTTCTCTGTTGGTATCCGTAGTACTTCTTGGCTTATTCTCTGAAGTAAAGTTTCCTCCATCCCATCTGTGTAGCTGAGCAGCAACTGGGACAACTGGAATTGGTGGCAGTTTCTCCCTCCAACTGGGACCATCCTGATCTATTAAAGTCTTTGTTATTCTGAAAGAGAAAAGACTTTTCATGTATTTAACTCATACATCAGTAACTTACACCCAAATTAAATAATGCAACATTCCAATTTTGCAAAAAACAACTGAAAAATTATCCTTAAGACTAATCCAAAATCGTCACAGCAGTCAACGGTATTGCACTCATTTAAGATTTAGACTTTTTCCACTTTTTAGAGTATTTATGCCAGCATTTAGAAGACAAAAAGCTGGCTTCAGCATGATCTGTAAACACTTAAGCAAATGACTGATTTTGCAACTAAGCTCTAAACGCTGCTTACCATGTGCAATAAATAAATAGGAAAAAATTGATGTATTTATTTTGCTTACTTTTCTCAGCTGTTCATAGGTGTTATTTGTAACAAGTGTAGATTACAATATCCTCAAAGTGTGGTACCTAAATTTGCCAATGTCAAATGTAACCTCTACACAATTATTCTCTCAATAATCAATGCAGGTCACAAAGTAGGTATTAAGTTGCATTTTACAGAACAGTCAGAAATTCATCAATCAATCATTCTTTAGCCTCATTTAACAATGCAAAGAAAATATATAAAAACTGTTTAGTCTTTCTTAAATCAATATATATATACACACACATAGGTAAACTATTTCTGTGCAGGAGAAGTTAAATCCAAAATCCACTCAAGCAGGACTTCCCCACTGCTATGATACATTTTGCAGAAAGACCTGTAAACATAATGTAAAGCCACACAGGACTTCATGGTTCCATTACAATTTTTGTAGTGTTTTTTTAAAGCAACCTAAACAAATATTAATCAATTACAAGACTGAGAATAATAGTGAGATAAACATCTTCTAATATCAAGATGAGCTTAAGAGTCAAGTTCAACTGGTGATAAGCCTAATGTCTATCAAAGGAAAATTCTGAATTTAGCAAAGCAAGTCACTTTGGTATTATAGCAATTAAGCCTGAAATTTGTACATTAGGTGCATTTCCATCTAACACAGGTATAAAAAACATACTACATGAATACACATCCAAAAAAAACCCCAAAACAATGAACCTTGAATGTGACATTGAAGAAGAATGAAATAGAATGAACATAAATGACTCAAGTTTTCTTTTAAAATATTTTAGTAATGGCTATAAAACAAAAAAAAAAGCCTCAGTATAATACTATGGCAACAGAGTCAGAGCACTCGAGATCAAATTCTTTTCCCATTAGGGTCTGATAGCAAAACCAATACAAGAAGCAGCGCCTGTTCTAATCTTCTTTATTATAAAACAGAAACCACCAAAATATTTTGAAGAACGTTATAGATTAAAAAGGCTGCTTGTAGAGCTATAAAATATGTGATTTTATATATTACATACTCCTGCATGAAACATGCCATTTCTTGTATTTTTGAATTGAAAGTAAGTTTCTTCGTACACAGAATATCACATTTCATTATCTAGTTGCTTTTTTTGTTTTCTAAGTGAGCAAGACGAATGTTTTTTGGTGTGTTAACTGCATATGCCCTTCCAGCGGCTCCCCTCTACCTGTGTCATTACTAGCAGTATTTTATAGGACACACCAACGAAGCAGCTTGTTCAAGTTCTGTTTTGCTCTAATTTTACTAAAACTTCAGGGTTTTTCATGATAGTATGAATTCAGTTGTTAAGAAAAATGTGGCACGTCATCATAAATTAAAGAGCCCTAAGATTTACTCAGGTTATTTTATTAGAGAACAAAACTGTACACTTCATATTAAGAAGACAATTCACTACGTTTAGGTATTTCCCACACAAAGTAAGAGAGTAATTCTACAGTAAACCAGGGTCCCACTGACTTTCTGTTTAATTTTTCCCCATTTATCGTAATGGGCTTAAAAAGTTGGACAAAAACCCTGATGTAATTCATCAAAATGAACAGAAAGAATCCTGTAGTCTTTGATGACTGATTGACTTCTTGTAATAATGTAGAAACAGTCTTTTGTAAAAACATGTACCTCTATGCCACAGTTAGTTTAAAAAGCATAGGTATCTCGTGAAAATGCTGGGACAAATACACTAATTCTCCAGCACCAACACCCTAACTTGACTCAACAATCTTGCAGTTTGAGTTTAGCACAAATTTATTTGTACAGTACAATACTCATATGGGACTTTGTAACAAAAGCTCCCAAGCTATCTAATGCAATTTGCTAACTGATACTAGCGAGGGGCTGAGATAACTGGAATGAAACTTCCATTCAGTAAATGGAAATGCATAAAGATATTGTCTCACATTAGAGCTTCTGTATTTCTAACAGTGAAAAGCAAATTATAAAACACTCAAGAGGAAATTAAAATACACAAAGCAGGAAATTCATGGATGTTCACAAAGCAAGGAATATGCCACTAATTAAAAGCATGCTTGAAATGCATTTTCCTGTGACCTGGCACACACCATTAAAAGAAACAGTCCTTCCAAGTCATCTAAAAATCACTTCAGGATAACCAATAAAAGACACAATTCAACATCACATAAACAACATGATAAACATTCGAATAACTGTTTATACTCATTTTCAGTTGACTTTTCATAAAAATATGTGCTTACATTGTTAATTATTTCCTTTTGATTGCAAAATGATCAGGTAAAGGCTTTACATTATCAGGTAAAGGCTTTACATTAAAAATTCTACTTCTTTCACGTAAATCAGACTGAACACCCATTTGATTCTAAGATTTTTGTAAAGCCTGCTTTTTAGGTAAGTACAGAAAGACATGCCTTATCATGATTTATCAAACCCACCCTCTGATACAAGTAGCATGATGAGTTTTTCCCGTCATCATCCAATTTCCCCCAGAAACTTAAAAATAAAGAAATCCTCCAATAAAAGCAGGTTGTTAAGATCTGACATTCCTAATATTAACAAAATTTGAATTACATTTTGGGCTTGCTGCAGCAGAGTAACTATCATATTTTGTTAAAATTCATTTTTAGAAAGGTGTTATTTTGGAAAGGAAAATTAATACTTTGGTAAACAATTTTAGCTTAATTCACAAATGATAAAATATTACAAAATAAATGATAGTAAAAGTTCAATTATGCAGGAGGTCTATGCTTTAGAAACTAAGGATTTGCAAGCAAAAATTAATTACCAGCAGAAGAGAAGGAGGAAGAAGCAGCTGAAATAAGGTGATGGGTTGCCAGGGAGGTAAGAGTATGAGCAGTGAAGCTAAAAACATAAGGAAGGCCTAGAGAGGAGAAAAGGAAGAGTGTTAAGGGAAAAAAAGGAAACAAGCTTATTGCTAAGCAAGTTAAAGTCAAGGAGAAACATGAAAAGAGTATCTGCAGATAAAATAAGCCAAGAAGATTAAAAAAAAGTTTAATAATCACAGAGATACCAGGATAAGCCATTATTTCACCAATCCAAGAGCTCTATTATCAGCATGGATACAGGAGACCAGTAACAACTTGCTGTGTTATCAAAACTAAGACTTCTAAGAGGACATGATGAAGTGTCATGATCTCCTTTGGCCACCTCTAGTCAAATAAGCAGAATTTAAAGATATTAGAGACTTTTCAATGAAGTAATAATGTAAGTTCTCATGGCCTTGCCTTAAAAAGAAAAAAAGGTACTAGATTCCATTGTTAAAAGTTGCATGCATGTGGGTTCCTGGTCAATGATAAATGGCTGTTCTGCTTTCATAAATTCTGGTTTTGCCCATTAAAAAAAAAAAAAGGAAAGAAAAGGGAATGGAAAATCCTATCGTTCACACATTTAAGTACTTACTACATGTTAACGAGAACGCAATTACGATAGTGTATACATTAATTCTACACCACTAAAATATAATAATAGAAATTGAGACGTCTCTCTTGGCAGCAAAAATTAATGTTGGAAGTATGAACACTTACATTAAAAATAATATTCAATTATAATTCTTACACTTCTAAGCTTTGTTACCAACCACTGTATCAAGCTACTTCAGTCTTTACAGAACTGCAGCACACTGAAGGATTCACGCTTAACATAAATTTCCAACTGCCACAAGAAGAATGGTAATATGAAAAGGAAACAGCAATGTCAGGGAAAAAGTGTAGGCCATAAAGCATAACTTTATGTAGCTTCAATACAAGCCAGGAAACAAAACAAGCTGAAGCATCAGGGAAAAAAAGCCTTTAAAATATTACATTTTTAAAGCAGAAAGTGACCTACCACTGGCAGAGGAAAACTGTGAAGCTACGGGGAAAAAACTAGATGAAACAGCCAATCCTCTAGTTACAACACAATAGTTGTGGCAACCCTGCCTCTGAGGGATACAGAACAGAGGGAGCATATAAAACAAATGAAACTGAATTCTATTTTTCCATTTGGACTGATATGAGTAGAAAACTTGTAAGCGGAATTACCTATTAGCACTATCATTTGCTGCTTGGATGCTGCTGTCTATTTGTAGGACCGTTTTATAATCAATGTATGCCTGTCGATACCGCTCCATAGACTCATTTGCCATTGCTCGTCGTAGAAGAGGCTTAAGGGAAAATGGCTGAAGCTCCAGAGCTCTGCAGAAAACAAAAGAAAAATCCAGGACTGAAACAGAATAACTGAAATAATGTTAACAAAATGTATTGACTATTTTATGATAAATACAACTATACATAACAACTTTGTGATTTCAGATGGGCCTCACAGTAACATAATCACTGAAAATGAGACTAAGTGGTACGTATTAATACTCTAAATGACATTCAGTTACAAAATTGTTAGTGTTTTTACTAGAACTTACTCTACTCAAATCTATCTTCCATCTGGAAAACTACTTTCATCGCCAAGAAAAGATTAACGTAAGGGCAGCTGTTTAAGAGCAAAAACTATTTTTCTTAAGTCATGTCTAGATCTTTGGGGATTTCAAGAATATGCTGTTATTGCCTACAAGATTTTCAGTTCTTATTCCTTACATGGAAATATGCACATAAAAAATACATTTAGTAAGACATGAGTATACACTTGTCTTTTTTTGGCTTTTAGGTTTCTGTCTGTTTACACTTCTGATTGTGTGCCTGGTCAACACTGAGCTCAGCCCCTGACACTGTGCAATCAGAACTCCCTCCAAACACCATGCACTTTTCCAGCAATACGAAGAAGCAGTCCACAAAGGCTTTATTTATTAAAGACTACCTTTCAATGACTCTTGCTAAAGAGAAAAAGAGACAAACTTGGAAATACTGAAAGTAAGATGTGTCTAGTCAATTAGATTTCATGGATTCATAAAGTAAGGCTGAGAGGTCCCTAGTCCAACCTTCTGCTACAGGTAGGGTCAGCACTGAGATCAGACAAGGTTGCTGAGGGCTTTATTCAGTTGGGCCTTGAAAGCCTCCAAGGCAATCTCTGCACAGCATCTCGGGACAACCTGTTGCCGTGTCCCCCACTGTTCATGGAGAAAAGGTTTCTCCTAATACACAGTCTGAACCTTGTGTGGTTTGATTTTTCCCATCATCTCTTGTCCTCCCACAATGCACTGCCAGAAAGAACGAGGCTCCATCCTCTGGATAATCTCCCCATAGGTACTGCCTGGCTGCTTTTAGGACCCCTGGAAGTCATTCTTCTCTAAGCTGAACAAACTCAGCTCCTGTGGCCTCTCCTCTCCAGGCAAGTGCTCTAGAGTTCACATCCACCTCTGCAACACTTCACTGAACTTACTCCAGTTGATCACTATCTTTCCTGTACTGGGGAAGCCAAAAACCAACACAGTTATCATAGATGCTGTCTAACAAGTGCTGAGTGCAAGGGGATAATCACTTCCCGCAATCCACTGGCTGTGGTGCTGCTGCTTATACAGCCCAGGAGGCTGTTGGCCTTTTTTGCTGCAAATTGGCTTTGCACCACTACTCCTCCTAAAGCTAGAGAAACAATGATTTCTAGAATAAACATTTCCATTTCATAAGTATTTTCAACATTCCCTTTCTCTTCATGTTGCTGAATGCATTTGAAAAATCCAACAGTGTGCCACATCATAGCTCTTACAAAACCTCTGCAAAAACGCATGACATTCTGTACCGCAGAAGAATAATAATGCAATTTCAGGTTCCTAACATCAAGAATGAAGAAAAACACAACCATAAGTAAATTCAGGGGAAGACAAGACTGCTTGAAGAATAGCATCAGTGGGAATGGAAAACTACATTTCCAGGGTAGAATGCAACGATAATACAGTGAGGGACCAAACCACACCACAGTACTAAACAAAATAACATAAGTGCATAGGAGCCCTATTTCCCTCTCTGTAACATGAATCAAAAGCACTCCCAATCAGAGCCCTGAGACAAAGAGAGACCCCAACAGAGGGTTTCTGATACACTTCTAAGCCCTAAATATCTAAAACTTAATAAATATTCAATACTTATTTTTGTATCATGAATATAAGCACTACGCTATTTTTTATTTTGAAATCAAGTAACCTATTTGAAGATCACCCTTTATGTTGTGTTGCCTAGAGTAGATTTAATGGACATTGCCTAATTCATGTGTGTCTGCAGTTCTGCTTCCCAGTCTCTAAATTATTTCTACCTCTGTCGTGTTCATTAAGCATCATGGGTCTTTCTGTATCCAGAAAATATGCACATTAAGAACACAATGATTAAGTAGTAAGTAAATAAGTTTCCAACCGGTAAGAATACAAAATCCCAGACCTTTGTATTACTGATTTCAGCTGAAGTCTTACATACTCCAAACCTCCTGAATAGAAAAATGTGATGGCTGTTAAGTATGTCATCTTATCAGTCAGCTGTCTATGGTCCTGGATCTATTTTAACAAAGTATTGTTAACAAGTCCATTTTTTTCAGACGACATTTTCAGAAAACTTTTCTGTCAGGTAGAATATATACAGTAAGTCAACTATTTAGCTAATACAAAGTTACATGAACATTTTTAGTTTTGTCTTTTTTTTAATAGTTGGGTTGTGCTGTAAAAAAACCCAATTAATTAACATCATTTCTAACTGTCTTGGGATCCCTTTTTGCACCTTAAGTCTCAGTCTTACTAAATCTATGAACGTATAAAAAAAGACATCTAGAAATACAGTAATAATTTAGTGGAAGGCAGTGTTTGGAAGCTATTGAAGGTGTCTGATCCTCTCAACTCCTGTATCCTTAAAAGCCACAATAAGTAGAAAGGATTTTAGCTCTATTCCTGAAGAGTTGTAATTACTGTTTATAACCATGCCAAGCATATACTTAAAAGAAAACAAACCAAAACAATAAACCAGAAAACACACACATACACACCATACAAACACTTGAAAGCAATTTCCAACACTGTGATAAGCATCTAGCCTATTAAAGCTCTTACATATAAATTACTACAGAGCATCGTAGTATAATGCTTTTATATTAAATGCTTTTATATTAAAAATTTTAATCCTGCTACGCATTTCTGTGCTCACAAGTCTAACATCTCTCCTCACCCAGTAAGAAAGTAAGTTAAAAGTTACTCCTTTCCTAGGTTCCATTCTATTGTTTACATAACTGCCAAAGATATCTGTCATTTAGACAGGGAATCAGACTTCATTGAAGACTGTACTAAGTCAAACTGCAGTAACAATTTATCAGTTAAAAATGTTTACTCATCATCAGGAATGTTGCTCTACATGGGAGGTTGTAATTTACCTGTTACAATCCTGAATGCAGTCATTGCAGTTGCCTTCTTTGAGGTAACATGCTGCTCTGTTTGAGTACAAGATACTTAAATCATCTGGACTTTGTTCTCCTAAAAGAAGTTACAATTAAAAATCAAAGAACATTACTAAAATGACACTCAAGAATTAAAGACTTGCCTACTGTAGGTTGCACTGCAGTGATACGGTCTGCTGACAATGCAAAGCTATAAAGAGCTTTTCTTTATCATGTCACCTAAAACTTGTAATCATTCAAACACATAAATAAACGCTAACAGCTCTGCCCCAAGGAGTTTAAAAGACTATTTCATGCATCTTCCTGTATTTTGCATTGTGTAAATTATTCTCTACCGACAATGACAAAGAATTTACTGCACAGTAACTCCTGCCAAAAATCCAGGGATAGACTAGGTCAGTTCATTTGTAGTTTCTCTACGTAATCTAAACAATAATCCTAGATTTAAGCACAAACTGATTGCACTCACCGAGACCGATGACATATTCAATGGCTTCCGAGTATTTGAGCACCGCTTCTCCAAACTGCCCACTCTTAAATAACTCGTTTCCTTCAGTTTTCAGTTTTGCTGCAGTAGAAGGAAGTGAAGTAGAACTGTCACCACCAGCCGACCGAGACCCCGCTCCGTGCGATCTGGGGATCTTCTCGGCTTCAGGGCTTTCACTCTTTTTCTCTCTGTGTAAATAGCCGTTAACTTCACCTTCATGGTCTGCCAAAGGCTTCTGTGGTTTTTTCTCTGATGTGCCTTTTTTTAACCCGCTGTCAGGGGATTCCTTTTGCTTCGGTGCCTCCCTGTCTTCCGCCTTACTGCCACCGCCTTTGCTGGGAAACTTTCTCTGCGCGCTCCCCATGGCCGCCGCCCGGGCTCCCAGTGGCACGGCGCTTTCTGCCGGGAAGTTAAAGAGCGGAGTTAGCGCTGCATCAGCAGAAGAAACTATCGTCCTGGCAAAGGAGGGGTGCGCCAACCAAGAACGCGGCACCAAATCCTGCAGGAATCCTGATCGTGTGAAGATTTATTTGCCTCAGAAAACACCTCGAAGAACATAGGAAAATTCTTGCTTACGAGTAGCTTGCAGTTATTACTGAGAACTATTACTATGAAATTTCCCTCTCCTTGCTCGGCACCTTGAAAACCCCTGTTCTGTAGTGTCAGAATGGTACAGATTTCACCTTCAAATTAACTCTTTAAATACTGGCTTTTACAATACTGATACTTCGATTTTCCATGGCCAAATCGAAATGCTTGCATGGTAAAATTAGAACACGCAGCTAACAAACCAGTAATGTTGCACACTTCAAAAATCTGTGATATAGCATGGAAAGGATAAAAGCTTATAAACCATTCTCAAAAAAGTTTAATTTCAACGTAATGTCAAAAGCCTTTTATAGAAACTTCTGATCATTCAACTTTCACTATTGTTTATTATCAATTTTATTAAGAAAAATAATACACTAAGGGTTTCAGATATTAACATATATAATTCCATTTTCACCGGAATTCCTAACAGATAACCACCACAGTATTAAAATACAGATTTCTGCAGAGAGCCTGACCTCTGATACTACCAGTCACACAAAGGCAAATCTGTGTTTTGGTACTATTAGGATGCTGGGTTTCACCTTCCTGTAACTTGATGTGCTCATCTGTCCCACAGAATTCTTTAATGGCTTCATATATCGCACTGGTACTTCCCATTGACTCGAACTAAACTTCTGAAGCTGATGGAAAATGGATGAACTCCAGGTTGTTCTAAATTACAGAAATTATTTTTTTAATGCATAAAATGTTACTGAAACCAAACTGAACAGGAAGGGAAAGCGTAAGATTTTTAAAAAGAATAGATTCTCTAGTGCCTAACAGACAAAAGCTCCAAGTGCACCCTTCCTAGCTGTGGTCTCTGTTTTGAAATACCGTCTTTAAAAATAAGTTCATACTCCTCAGTGGGAAACAATTATAAGATAAATCTATTCTACCCACACAGACTTTTTAATAAAACTTAACTAGTTAGTTTTTAACTAACTTAAAAAACTTAACATTTTAATAAAACTACTTTTGAAAATAAATTATTTATATTTGAGACTCCTATCCATCCGTGCATCAAATTTTGCAGTCCCAAATATGTCAAAAAAGGTTTAAAAACTATTTGGTAGTGAAGATGAGGGTAAAAGACTAGCTGGGCAGATGAATGAAGACAGTGGTACTATAACAACAATTTCCGTAGGATACATGCTAAAATATTTTTATTCTACATCTACCAAAACAGAGAATACTCTGCATACCTTCTAGTTTTTGTTTTTGTTTTTGTTTTTTTTTTTTAAAAAAAGGAGAAAACAATTTTAAATGTCACAGACAAATAGGTGACAGGACAAATTTTTAGAAAAAAATCTACAGCAAAACACTCTTGAAGAGCATCCCAACTGCTAGAGACAAAGAAAAAGCAAGAAGGGCAGATAATGTGTGATGCAAATGTGAATGTCATTAATGAAAATGTCTTTTCCTAATTGCAGAAGAAAATTTCCTGAAAATGAAGTGCACAGAACCAATCCTGGATTAAAGAGGAAACATGTATAGCATTTGGAGTCCCCCTTAAAAATAAGGATAATCATAATTAACTTGTTCAGCTGTTAGGTTATGTCGATTGCCTTAACATTTCTCGACTGAGTAACCACCAGGCACAAAATTGTACAGATCTATTTCTCAAACCTAATTCTTACTGTCTTTCAGTTTCAGTGTTTATAACATAAACAAGATTCCTGTATTGGTCTCTACAGAAAAATGTATTCAGGACTTCGCCCTAAAAACAAATAGGCCCCTAATGAACTTTTTTAAAAAAAAAAAAAAAAAAACAAACCAAGGAAAAAAAGGTCTAGCTACATTATAAATTCCAAAGGAAAATTAAAGAAAGGTACTGAAAAGTATGGATAAGATTTTGAGCAGAATGACAGCAAAGCCAAACTAGAAAGAATTTTAATTCATGTTAGTACTAAAATAATGAACTTAAAATGAAGGACTGTCCTAAAACAAAAGCTATTGAATACTCCAAAAGGAATATTTGAAGGTGGTGGGGTTTTTTTTTGCAATGGATGACATAATCTTTCCTTTAAAATTAACTTCCAGCTACACAAAGTATTACAATAAAATTCTAGTCACAGAAATTACTACAAATTAACATTTGGATAGGTGCGAATTCATACATGGTGAAAAGGCCAGGTGAGTGAGGATACAGAACAGCCAGTAAGCATTGACCAGTAGATAACATCTCAATTATTTTAGAGCCCCAGTGGCAGAGGAGAGCAGAAAGCAGTACCAGGGATGCTAAAAATACAACAGCAAGCACAGCTGATGGCTTGAGTCGGAAAGAGCTCAAACTGTCTCCTACCCAATACGCTTTGCTTCTCAACAAATCAGAAACTTCAAAATGCAAATCTAAGACCTTACTCACTGTTTGCTGTGAAAAGCCAGGAAACATTAACATATATGTTGAAGAATTATCTGTAACATCAAATAAATGTTTCATTATTCCACATGGAATAACTCAAGAATAAGTAAAAATGTAAAGACAAAGAATCCAGTTTTATTTGAAGATGTCCATTTCAGAAAAAGTGTTTAGAAAATCAACAAGAGAAATTCAAAGAATGTTATCAACCCATATTTGTTTCGAAAAGCTGTAAATCAGCCATTATGATGACAGCTCCATTTATCTAAGGGCAGAAAGCTTACCACTTCGGAGAAACCATGACACGTGGTCAAGACCAGTTGACAACACAGTACTTAATTCATCAAGGATGCAGAGAGAGTTTTCGTACCTATTCAGCTCCTAACAACATTCCCCCAAAACAACAATCTAGTGCAAGAAAACAAAGTCACAACATAGTGGGTTGACATGAGGAGATGCTTTTCAAACTAAGATTGGTTCCAAAACAGCACTGTCATGTTCAATGACAAAGACCTTCATTTGGTGCTATCAAGTAGAAAACAGACTGGAAAAAAATCGCAAAATAATTCTCTGTAGCCAACTGCTGTGGCATCAAGTAAATTTACTACCTCCTAGGTAGTGAAACTAGAAGGCAGATGAAGGATTTAACACAAAGAAAAAAGAGGTGCTCTGATGCTTCAATACCAAGTGTCAGCGTACCAAACCAGCAATCTCAGGGTGCACAAAACAGCAGGATATGTACAAAAATAAAATATACATATATCCTGAATTGGGCAAAAGGTCTCATCCAGAAGAAGAATGTTCTCTTCACCTCTCAAATGTAATAAACAAGCCATGCACAAAGAATGGACTCTCTAGTCAACTTCTTTTTCCACGGTCAGCTCACAAAACATAGTTTTGTCTGTTATGAGGTTTCTTGTATGTGCTTGAAGTACATGTTTTAAAGAGATCTGTTGTCAACTTTAGCAATAACAGGTTGAGAAATTATTTTAAAGCTAACTTAGACTTTATTTGTTTAAATGCGCTCTCCTTTTTAGGAGTAAATATTTACTAAATTTCAGAACTATTTACTACAATATTTTTTAAAATTATCATAATAGATAAAGTAAATACCACACAATTCAGCAAATTTTTATGAACTAAAAGGGGCTATTTAAAATAAATTTATTTTATTTATCTTTAAACTGTATTTATCAGTTGAGATTATAATTTCTATAAACACATACAAAATATCAGGCACTTCGTCAAGTACATACAAGATTTTTAGTTTTTACCATGGCTGAATACTAATTCTTACAGTTTCTAGGACATAAGCAATTTTCTGTTTCTACTGTACAAAAAGGATTTTTATTTACTTTTGCTTTCAAGTAAACAGAAGATGAAGAGAGACTATACTCTTTATTTAGACAGTTCTGTTTAAAGCTGAGAAATCAACTCTTAGCACTAAAGAGAACAAAAAGTATTTTGTTGGTTTTCTGCAATTTCTAAATGATAAGTTTAGTCAGAATGCATGCAGCCTACCAACTAGAATGTAAAATAAATGTGACGACATGACTGGACTACATGGACTACTGTGGACATGACTGTGACTACATGACAAGATGTATAGAGAAGACATAGGAAATGCCTAATCGACTAATTGCTGTTAGATTCACAGAAACATATCAGATTTATTGAATAAGTGAACTGACTTCGTATTTGTTTCCAGTTGTACTCTAAAACACAAAGTAATCTAGGAAGATGCTGGCCTCCTAAATTTCAAAAATACTTATGTATATCACATAAACACATTTGACATTGACGTCAGTTGACAATCTTCCCTATGTTTAAAAGCCTAACCTTTCATCAACAGGAGTCTTCCTATGGAGCTAGAAGGCACTTAGTCATCTGAATACTCCCAATGGAAAGCAACACCACATTAACTAATATTTAAGACTAGGGACATGATCCATCCTTTCTTCCAGCACTTTAGCTGAGGAGACTTAGTGGTTAACTACCGATTTTGAAAACATATTTTCCTTAAATCTGTGTGCAAATAATGCATTATTAAATCACACATATACAGTCTAACATTCACAATTAAGTTGGAAAACCCAGACTGATTTAATTACAAGATAAAGAACTGCATAAGCCATGGAAAACACAAAAGCCACAGTTCTCATGCCAAATTACCTTAAAGAACCAACAGAAAGGAGAATGTTTGGAAATCAACCCAGGGATGTTGCTCTGTTGCAGGCTGGAGCCCAGAAATGCAGCTGAATCTCAAAGCAATCTACCAGCGCAAGCCTCAATAGCCCCTGCTGCCTCACTGCTTCCTCCAAGTCGTGTACTCTGATTATGCCAGTGGCTTCATCTCAGCAGTCTTGTAGTTAGTCACACACTAATCCATGAACAGGACCTGCACTTCAACTGCTTGTAAACTACATACAGTACAAGAATTACCTGTGGTTTACCTCTAATACATACTTTTGGAGCACACAGGTGATCTCTTACGTTAAAAACAAAACAAAACGATTGATAGTTTTCAAAACAAACAAGCAAACAAATCAAATTATATGCCACTTGGTAATTTTTACAACCTTTGATCCAATCAAGGGAGGAAAAACACAGAAGAAAAATGGGAAGGCAGGAGAGCTGCACGAGCGAAAGAGCTGAAGAACACAAAATGTTTACTAACACCAGAAGAAACTCCCGACTGGGTCCACATTAAAGGATAGGTATAAAATTACACAGGACACAGGGAAGCAGGTGATTTATAGCAAAGTTTTCCATCTGTCTCTGTTATACACTTTCTAGAAATAATTCCAAAGATGTGTAATAAAACTGGATTCTAGATTTCACACTCAGATCTACTTTAAGTAGTGAATGTAATTTTAGTCTTCAAACAGGCAAAATTCTTTGCAAGCAAATATGGATGAATTGTTTGAATACGCATTGCAATATCAAAGGCAATGATATTTTTTTTCTTTGGGTTAAAACTAAATAGGAAATGACATGACATTACTTTTATCTCCACTGCTTTGTTCATGTTCTGTATTTTCCCCTCTGTCCTCATCATCTTCTGAATCCTCTATATCTTGAATAAGTATTCTTGTTCCTTTGCCTTGAGTCTTGGATACAGGCTTTAAACCATGCAATTTCTTTTCAATCTCTAGCAGATTTTTCTGCAATAAAGAAAAAACAACAACAGCAGAAGCCTTTTTTCATAGGTATATAAATTGTAATTTATATATGGAAAATAAAATACATTATGTTAAATAATCCACATAAGGTCCTGAAGAACTATTGAGATGTTACCAATATAAAAACAGAGAAAATAAATGTGACTTTTGGAAGAGTCAGTATCAAAGCCAAGATTAATACGCAATTTCTATCTCTTAGAAATTCAGAAGATATCACACAAATAAATAAGTACTTTTCTTGAATGAAACTGCTTAAGCAAAAAAAAAAAAGGAAAAAAAGTAGATTATACTGTTGTGGTACTGGCATGGTCTACTCAGAAGAGACATATGGAAAACGGTTATTTCCAGAATCTCCGAAAAAGCCTAAAATCCATTTATCAAAATTTATGCTATGGAGAATTTGGTGTCTGACGGATATCTGATGGAGGAGTGTAACTGATAGAATTAGAACCAAAAGAGGCAACAATTCCTTAGCAGTGTAGCAGAAGGACCCTATTGAATAATGAAAAGGTTTACTCCCCTTGTAAGAACTGCAAATTAGATGACCAAACAGCCTCTCATTCCATAAACATTTTTGATTACTTAAAAAAATATTCCAACCGCACTTTGCATTTTCAGAGCAGAGTACAACACACCCAACATTATGCACTATTCTGAACTGAATTCAGTGTTGTACAAGGATGTGCCATCTCAGTACTCACTTCAAGAAAAAGATAAAACAAAGACAGGAACGAGCAAAGATTCATGTGGACAAAGTACCGTGAAGAATTCCAGTTACTGACAAGAATATTACCTTTATTTTAGTGACTCTGCACATAAACGTTCACTCTGCATGTGTTCCATACATGCATATTTATCTCAAGAGGGTTTTGAAGATCCTCCAAGCAAAGAGCAAATCAAAAAACACCCTGCCAAGTACTCTCGTCACCTCTAGATGCCTCAGCCAAGGCATAATAGCTGGCACAGATGAGGACACACATTTGGTTTTGGCTACGGAAGCATTGCTCAACAGAGCTGCTAACGTATTTGGATCTCTGGAAGAGCCTACTCAAAATGAGTAAGTATCTTATGTCTGGTATTATAAGAAGTCTCAGTACAGCCTATTTGATAATCTTTGCATAAAGACTGCTGTGGAGTTTGTCAACACAGACTCACAAGCTATTTAGTGGTTCAGGCTTGTAAACAAAAAAAAAGCCAAAACATAAGCTCTTTTAGAACTCAAATCTGGTGAGACAAGTGTTTAAAAAGAAAGGGAAAAAAAAAAAAAAGCAAAGCAGGCAGGTTGATTCCTTGGTTGATGTGAAACTCAGGAGCTATTCCGCACAGGAATCTAGCTCCAAGAACAGCCTAAATGGGATGGATGCTGTATGTGGTGAATTTGACATAACAGGCTTGGACCTCTCTCACTGGTGCAAGTGATCAAATAACTCCATGGAAAGAAGTAGCAATCAGCAAGCTGCTAGCAGCTCAAAATGTGTTCAACAGTTAAGAGCTGAACAGAATTTCAGGTGATGAGGCAATTTCACAGCATCCGGAAGTCATACATTAAAAATTGGGAGGGTAGCAGTATGATGACTCCTAATTAACAGGCAAAGAGCAATTCAGTAAGGGAACTGCCTAGTACTGAAGATTCTCAGGACATGTAGACTGCAAATGCAAGGACTGGGTTGTAACCCACAAAACAACCCTAAGATGACACCAACGAAGTGCCATGAACCAATCTTCTCCTAAACAGCTGAATAGTAGTATAAGGACTACATCCTGACCTTGAGTTTGCAAAGAAAGCATCCAGCTTTCTTAGATCTAAAATTGGCTAAGAAAGGTCCAGATTCATCAGAAGAGATGAAAGGTTTTTCATCCTAGTCTGGAGGTGAGAAATGAGGATTTATAACCTCACGCTGAAGTGAGGACAGAACCCAGGTCCTCTCCTTTTGGGTTGACTGTACCACTACGACAATAAAAGCTTAGCATCTCTTTTGAATTTTTCTTGTGAATTACGTGTCAAACTTAAATACGCCTATCCCAATGGATCTTTTTGAGAGAAATTTCCAAATAACTTTCATCAGCTAATACACTAATACTGTAAGCACGTTCAGCAGCAAAATTTTAGGCACCTAAATTAAGTTAATAGAGAAGTCTTGAGTGCCTACAGGTTCTTACAATTAAGTAGTCAACAGAAGATCTGGTCACATTCAAGTACCTAATTCCCACCACAGGCACCTATGAGGTCTTAGGAAACTAATCATCAGCATATTAGATCGAGTATGTCCTCAAAATTCAAACAGTATGACCTGTACTCACTTTATGCTACAACTGCATACAACCTTTTTCCAGTCCTATCCCCCTCATTTATCTTTACCTTAGCTATAGCGTTTTCTGGTTCAACACATAATACTTTGCTCAGATCCTCCATAGCTGTCTGGTAATTCTGCAGCTGATTGTGCACCGTGGCACGGCGCATCAGAGCTACAAAGGAACAAAATGTATTATCTGCATATTTAAAGCATAAAGCGGATAACGATACACTATTTTTTCTAGACATATTAAGTGTAAAACAGTTTTTAAAATTCCGCATTTCCTTCATAATTACTCTGTATTAGTCATAACTGTTCTCTTGATCATTGATGCAATTTCACATAATACCTTTTGAGATAGTGATCATGAATTGTGAAGCGTCTTCTAATATTTTTCCAATTTTTCCCCTCCTCCATGCAAATATAGTCAACTGCATTCAAGCCCTTGCCTTCAGAAAGGAATAGATCTGCAACTTTCATTGCTTTCATGTCACTTTTAAGGTAATTAATACTTCAATGTGAGTATTGTGGAAACAATGCACTGCACCAATACAAGAGGACTTATAGTCATCATTTAAAAAACAAGAGTTAGCCCCATGCTACTGCATAAGAATACCCATTACAGATGAACAGGATGGCCTGCATAAAACTTCTGTGACCCCAAAAATACTCTTAAATTACTTTGGGGAGCTACTCTTGTTGCTTTCTTTATACATGGACTTGATCTAAAGCTCAGTGAAGTCAACTAACAACATGAATGGATATGTACCATTTTATTTCCTAGAAATAAAATAATACGTAAAAGGGCAAGTTTATGTTCTACCTTACCTTTTACATTGCCAGGTTCCATATCTAGTACCTTCTCACAATCCTGCAAAGCACTATCCCAGTCCTGAAGCTTGATTTCTGCTTGAGCTTTGTTATTATATGCAGCTGCAGTGGGTATCACTGATATACTCCTGAAAAAAAAGTATTGACCATGGTAGGCTCATAGAAAACCTGAATGTAGAAACACTTCACTATTGGAAGCTGAAAACAGTATTATAACAATATTAATATTGATATTCTAACCATAGTGGTGGTTAGAAAATCCTTCCTGCGAGACCATCCACCAACTAGATTTACCATCTTCAAAAGTCTATGGCTTGCCCAGGGCTTAGATCTGAGATGTTGCAGAGAAGATACCATGGCTCATCTGTCCCTTAAACTGTTACCTTTTGCTGCCGTCCATGTAGACTCAAATGAAACTGCCAAATGAAACCTTTGAGAGTATCAAGAGGAACTACAGAGCTCTGGAGGCTATGATGAAGAGCAGGGGGGGCCACATGGGCTTCTCCTTGATCTTGCTCGTAGAAGGGAAAGACTCAGGTAGCAGTGGATGAATTGTCCAGGTCAATGTCTGGCTGCGTGGCTGGTGTTGTAGGCAGGGTTTTAGTTTCTATAACAACAGAATCATCTCTGAGGAATGTAAGGACAACTGGGATCCATATGACAAAGTGGTGCAAGACAATCTTTGCCAACACCCTTGCTAACCTAGCAAGAAGGATTCTAAACTAAGGTCACGGGTAAGAGGGGACAATAGGGAAGTGCCAGGGGGACAGCATACTGGGAGAGACTCTCAATTTCCTTGTGAAAAAAAGCCTGACTGAAGGACAATCTCAAGTGCTTGTTCACAAACGCACAAAGCATGGGAAACAAAAAAGATTAAAAAGCCTGTGCATCTATGATCTCAGTGGGATAACAGAGATGTGGTGGGATAATCTGTGTGGCCAGAGTGCTGTAAGGGAGGCGTGCAGGCTCTTTAGAAAGACTAGGAAGGTAAAGACAAGGAGATGCATTCTAGTCTAAGCAGTGATGAAACGGGTGAAGGTTTGTCTTGGAACAGGCAAGAAACTGACAAGCCAGTCAAGAGAGCTGATGGGTAAGAATAAGAGGTCAGACTGACGTGGTGACATCATGGTAAGCACCTGCTTCAGCTTGCCTGATGAAGAAGAGCAGGCAGATGAAGTCTTCTTCAGCCAACTAAAGGAAGCCTCACAATTACAGACAGAATCTGTTTCCCACAGGGGACCTCCTGAACCACCCTGGTATTTGCTGGAAGGGCAAAATGACAAGGCACAAGAAATCTATGAGACTTCTAGAGCATATAGAAGACAACTTCTTGACACAACCAACAAGCTGACGAGAGGCAATGCTCTGCTGAAATTGTTACTCACAATCAAGAACTGGTTGGGAATGCAAAAGTTGATGATAGCCTTGGCTGCAGCAACCATCAGATGGGAGAGTGTACAATTCTGGGAGAAATGAGCAAGATGAACACTAGAATTATAGCACAGGCTGGGTCCCAATTAGCTAGAAAGGAGCTTTGCAGGAAAGGACCTGAGGGCTCTGGACAACGAATTGAACAGGAGTTAAGAGTGTGCTCTCAAGGCAAAGACGGCGTACCACGTGTTGGGCCATATTAGCAAAAGCATAGCCAGGAGGTCAGCAGAAGTGATTCTTCCACTCTCTGCAGCACCTACAAGACGTGGAGTACATGTGTTCCGTCTGGGGCTCTCCTGTACACAAAAAGCACCAACAGAAGAGAGTCCAGCATGTCACCGGGATAGTTAAGGACCTGGAGTACATGCAGTACTTGTGAGGAGAATCTGGGATGACTAGGTTTATTCAGCCAGAAGCAAAGGGTCGGGTGAGGTGTTTATCTGTTTTCAGTTACTTAATGGGAAGGTATGGAGAAGACAGAGCCACATTGTTCTTGGAAGTGCACACTGAAAGGACAAAAGGCAACAGACACAAGTTGCAAAAAGGGAACATCTGATGACATTTTAGGAAGAAAAAACTACTCTAAGGGTAGTTAAACACTGCAACAGGCTGCCCAGAGAGGTTATGAACACTCCATCCTTGGAGACATTAAAAACTTAATTGAACAAAGCCCTGACTAACCTGATCTAACTTGGCCCTGCTTTGAGCGGTGGTTTGCACAAAATATTCACAGGTTGCTTTCAACCTAAATTATTCTATGATTCTACACTATGACATCCTTGTCTCTAAAATGGAGAGACACGGATTTGACAGATGGACCACTCGGTGGATAAAGAACTGGATGGATGGTCGCACTCAAAGAGTTGAGGTCAATGGTGCGATGTCTACATGGAGACCAGTGTCAAGCGGTGTCCCTCAGGGGTCTGTTCTGGGCCCAGTGCTGTTCAACATCTTCTTCACCGACATGGATGATGGCATTAAGTGCACCCTCAGTAAGTTTGCTGGTGACACCAAGTTGTGTGGTGCCGTGGACTCACTCAAGGGAAGAGATGCCATACAGAGGGACCTTGATAGGCTTGAGAAATGGGCCAGTGCTAACTGCATGAGCTTCAACAAGTCAAAATGCAAGGTCCTTCACCTGGGTCTGGCCAATCCTAGGCACAAATACAAACTGGGCACAGAGTGGGTTGAGAGTAGCCCTGAAGAGAAGGATTTGGGGGTGTTTATAGATGAGAAGCTCAACATGAGCCGGCAGTGCACTCATGCGGCCCAGAAGGCCAACCGCATCCTGGGATGTATCAAGAGAAGTGTGGTCAGCAGGTCGAGACAGGTGATTTCCCCCTCTACTCTGCTCTTGTGAGACCCCACCTCGAATACTGCGTCCAGTTCTGGTCTCCCCACCATAAGAGAGACATAGATTGGTTGGAGCGTGTTCAGAGGAGGGCCACAAAGACGATCCAGGGGCTGAAGCACCTCTGCTATGAGGACAGGTTGCGAGAGCTGGGATTGTTCAGCACTGAAAAGAGAAGACTTCGGGGGGACCTAATAGCTGCCTTCCAATACCTGAAGGGAACTTACAGGAAGGCTGGGGAGGGACTTTTTACAAGAGTGTCCACTGATAGGACAAGGGGAAATGGGTTTAAGTTGAAGGAGAACAGATTTAGATTAGATCTTAGGAAGAAATTCTTCAGTACGAGGGTGGTAAGACTTTGGAATAAATTTCCCAGAGAAGTTGTGGATGCCCCCTCCCTGGAGGTGTTCAAGGCCAGGTTGGACGGAGCCTTGAGTAGCCTGATCTAGTTGAGAGGCGTCCCTGCCCATGATAGGGAGGTTGGATTAGATGATCTCTGAGGTCCCTTCCAGCCTATGCCATTCTATGATTCTATAACTGAAATTACTAGGCAGAGTAATTTCACTACAGGTATGAAAAAAATAGGCAAGATCCATTTATTTTGAAATCACATCAGCATAACAGAACTATGTCAAAGCACGTGCTCTGCAAAAGTTGAATCTCTTTAGAAAATGAGAGAGAGATTTAAGTTTTTTTGTAAAATAGAAACCACTCTCTACGTTCAGCTTAGAATAGCAGGCCTCATTACAAGACAAACAGAATGATAACTGTACACTGATTATTTTTATATAGAACTCTACTCTTTACATTTTTAGCCATACACAAATAACCCCTTCAGACTATTATCAATTCACTTCAAAATATGTTTTATTTAAATATTTCTAAATGTAAGAAAACAGGAATTTTCATATGGTATTAGAAAAGTGCCCAGTTAGAACAGCATGCAGTGTCAATATCCTATACTTCAGAAGGTGTACAATGCCCCATGGGTGTAAAATATGTAAAGACTCTCCATTAGGAAGGATTCTGCCCATCTTTATTAATTAATACCTTATTTATGCCCCAAAAGCAGAGATTTTTACTTATTTTTATATTATGGATTTGTATGAATTACAGCTATGGATTTTTTTTTTTTATATTCATGTTCTTGTATTAAAAATAAAGATAAGTGTTAAGGCTGCAAGTCAAGACCAAAAAAACACACATCAAATGCCTCAGTTTAAACAGTCTGTGCACTATGAATATCAATACCTTTGTCCATATACATACATACACATCGACAATGTCTAGGTAAATTTTCATAAGCTGTTCTACCAAACTCTTGTCTCTTTCAGTGACAGAATGAATGGTGCTTCCTTAACATAAATCTGTTCAATATTTATTTTATTGTTGCTACACACAATTTGTTCCTATTCATTATTTTCTCCATACTTGTCTGCAGTGGCCACAGACACATTAACTTCCTCATATATTTTTTTTGAGGATATCCCACTATAATGTCATAGCCCATGAATTACCTTAACTCTTTATCTCACAGTAGTGCCATATCATTACCCTCCGTTTACAACGCAAATTAATACACCGAGATTCCCCATATGCTCTCGATTTCTCAGTTCTCAAAGTGACAACTTTGGACACTTCTAGGACTTGTGTTTTTTTAAAGTCCTTATCGTTTCAAAGCACAGAGTTAAACACAAAATTGAATTTCCTTTAACATTCGTTTAATGTATGAGCAGTCAGCACTTTTGCAAGTCAGACCTCTAGTGTCTCAAGATGGGTAATCTGCAAATGAGAAACAAATCTTGGTCTCATGAAAATCCTGGTTTGTATAAATGGCATCATGTTTGAGCACTGTGAAAAAGGTAGAGAAAAAAATCTACTTCTCCCAAGGTAGCATTCAAGTCCCTGAACTGAAACACTATCCTTCTTTTCCTGTCACGTTCAATTCCGCTCACCTTGATCTTTTCTACTTTTGAAACAAATACAACAGAGGTCCAGTAGCAACAACCTCTATTTATATAAATAAAGCCAAAGTCTGAATGTAGATCACTGTGCACTAAATAAGGCAAGCAACCTGTAACAATCTCGTTGGTTTTAATCCTGTGTTAATACACTTTTTTTCTGGACTGCTACTAATTACAGACAGTGTTACAATGAAGCTGCATACAATAATTTTTTTTCTCCTAAGAAGAGGTTATTAAATCAATTTTACTTATTAACAATTGAGACAATCCCACCAATATGATTATTTAGAATTACTTTTAATTAATTTAGTTCTCAACACACTGTTTATCCTCATTTTTGTAAACCCTCCCTTGAATCTCAATGGTTTTAAAAAATCTGAAGAAGTTTGTGACACCTGCTGATTGCATCCCATCACTATCTATCCACCCCTTTTCCTGATAAATAAAAATTAATATCAGGATGTAACAACTGTTAAATCAGGATTCAACTGTCAAATCTTTTTGCCCTTTTGAAAATAATCTAATTGTCCCTAGTTGCTTCAGTAAGAGGTTGCTTTAATTAGATTGCTCTAAGTATAATATTAACAGGTAACAGTCAATAAAATAAAGGAACACAATACTATTTACTCACCGAGTGTAATATGTCACTGCTTCCGCATAATCTCCAATGGCAAAGGCTTCATTGCCCTTTTCTTTTTCACGAGTAGCAATGAAAATCTTCTCTTTCTTTGTCATGCCTAGAGAAAAAATATTTATACATAACAACTAACAACTTGCACGGATGCAATCAAAACACAACTGAAATACTTGGAATATATTCATAATCTGTATTTTTTTTAAATAACGTGGCTTAGTAAAAGACAAATTTGTATTTTATTTTCTATAACAAAAATCTACATTCTTCTGATAGGCATACAGTTCAGAATCCAAGATAAAAGTGGTTGGCTAACCTCTACCATTGGTTTATAGTAACAGAAGTATGCTTTACTTTATGTAGTGCTCTCAACCTAAACACAACATAAATATTTTAACTGATTATTAACACCAAGACTAGATTTTTTTCAAATACGGCTTCAAGCTCAGCTGACCTCCTAACAACTTTTAGCATCTCTAGGGACTGAAAAACAGATAAAGACACTTTTAACTCTATAACATATTTCTTCAATTTGTATTCACACTCTACAACAGAGTATTACAATTAAAGAAAAATTGTATGTTTCTAAGACATTACCAGTTGTGTCTATTTTCTTTTTGATTAAAGGTAGACTTGGCCTACTAAAAAATCTTGCTTTTGAGTCATTTTCTTCACAGCTTTCATTAATTTTGGAACACTCCTTTTCCACATCGAACCTTAAATTAATAAAAATAACACATTCAATAACGGTACATAGCAAGACTCCTCTACTAATAGAAGGGCATACCATATTTCCATTATAAACCAAAGGAAAATAGGGATCAAGGCTGTGTTCAATTATCCATGACTAGTTAGGAAAAAAGACGTTTAGTCTTTTCTCCTTTCCTTGTGTTGTTTTCTTTGTGTGCACTTCACTTATACATTACCTCCCCTCTTCCTCCTCTCTTCTGGTTAAAACCAAACAAACCAAACCACAAAAAATGTCTGGCTCACCTCCTCGCCATCACCCCCAAAAAGACAGGGAATATTTAAAAAACAGAATCACCAGGCTCAATCCCAACCCTATCAAACAACTCTGTTAACCTTTGCCAAAATACCTAAGAAACAGCTTCAAAGCAATTAATACTGTAAATGTGAGAGAGATTTCAAAATAGTCTCAGACTCTTCCAAGGCTACTCTGAAGCAGCTTTTTAAAACAGTGTTTAGGAATTTATATGAAATAAATACTGCTGCCATAGTCCTATAAAACAAACACAGTAATAACCAATTCCTACACTATTTAGAAACACTACACTCACTGCTCTTCTGTTTAGGACTTAATGAAAAATAGCCTTTGCTTTCCACGGTAATCTTGACACTATGAATAATGTCTATCTGAAATGGAGACACAATTTGGAAAATTTATCAAATTGAAAACCTTTTCAGACAAGACTAATGGTTCTCCATTTTGATTCTGATCTTTTGCTAGCTTACTTTTACCTTCTTAATTAACCACATTTCAAAGAGTTTTTAAAATATTAAGTGAAACACTTTATTCAAAAATTGCCTAAACAATTATTAGGTTTTGAAATTATTTTCAAAGTGTTTTGAAAACATGATATGCTTCAAATCTGTAATTTTTTTTCAAACAACTTCTGTTTCATTATACTCAACATTATCCAAAATAAATACGTTATATGGGAATATTCACAAACTGCAGTATTATCAGCATGCTAAAGCACTTAAAAATTGAGTACATAAAACTGTAAACAAAATCTCCAAATGATTACTTTAATTGATATAGAGGAAAGAAGGATGAAAGAATAAATTGTTGTAGAGGTTATTTTGATAACCTAATTAGTTTGTCCACATGTGAGCAGGAAAGCCCCGATTTCTGAAACATACATGCATGAAAATTACTGATATGCACAACTGTTTGTAAGAACAGCACCTTATGCAGACAGGGTTTTTGTAGAGGTTTTAGGGTAGAGAAAGGCATTAAGAGTTTCATTACCCAAATCCCACAGTCTCGAAGTTTAGCTCCCCATCTCCTGCACTAGAAACTTGTGCTTCCTCATTCTGATTCTACAGCACGATATTCCAGATTTAAGGAGCTAGAGAGAAGCTGCAACCATGCAAAAGAGACAAGTACGTGCATTTCGCACTCCATGTTCAACAATTTGGGGGCATCAATCTGTCATGTAACTTGGGAGAGTAATAAATATGCTGCCATTACATGATTCAGAGAGTATCTTTGTTCCAGAGCTCCATCCACCCTAGAAATAGTCAGTTGCTGTCTAAACCTCTGATTATGTGTAATTGCACCTGAGCAAACTGATGCACCCGCCTCAAGCTCATTCTTTGAAGTCAGTGGGACTCAGTGCAGGAATAAGGATTCATCAATTTTGTTTTTAATTTAGAATTGTGACTATAGATGCACAGATGATGAAAATTCTAAGCCCATGTTAAATAATCCTAGAAGTGCTTTCAAAAAACCTGATAAATTAAGGTAATTTTAATCCCATAGTTTTATGTACTTCCACAGATTTTATATCTTAGATGTTGAAAGGAAAAAGGAAATCTGAAACAAAATCACTTTTTATTTGTATTTACTGCTGACTTGTTCTATTTCACTCAGCTTAAACAAAAGTATACAAACAAAATTGGTTTTCAGCTGTTAGCACCACAATGCGTCATTTGCATTTCAACAGCACATTTATTAGGGAAAACCTAAGTTTCACTGAAACGTTATAATTCCCTGAAATATTGACTTTAAAGTATTTTCCAGAAACATAGTATTAAAAAACAACATTTAAACATTTAATAATGTTCCATTATTAAACAAATAGATAAGATTTAATAAAAACTTAAATATAAAGGATTTAACATACTTGTCCCATTCACTGTAATCTCGTGGTATGTTTTTCTTGTTTCTTTGTCTGTTTTGTAATTTTTTGTTCTGAAAGAGAAACAGCCAGCCTGTAAGACAATTTTTTAAAATGGAAATTCACAGCCTTTTTTTGTTTTGTTTTGTTTCTGTGATACATATTCCTATTAACTAACTAACACTATTCATGACTAATTTCAGCATAGTCTTGAAAATTTAATACATCTTGCTTTAAAGAAAATCTTTATGTATTTGACATATCGTTGTAATCTGAGGAGCTCTTCAGTCTCACCCTTTCTCTCCACTGCCCTGTTGCATGTCACAGAGGCACTGAATAAAATTTCCGGATAAGCGACTACTCTTCCTAATTACTATCTTGTGCTGCCATCTTCCAAACGATCCTTTCAAAACAGCAAGGGAGAACTCTGTCTTGGGAAACCCCAGCCTTGTGATGAGGTGTTTAACACTGAGATTGAATCTGCAACCTTGTTTTAGGCTTGCCATTCCCAAGAGAATGCAATGCACAGATTCTGATAGTCCCTGGAACCCTCATAACTTACAAATGAAAAATTTGTTTGACTTCAAAATAGCGTCTGTACTTCTTTTGACTATTTCACACTCCAGTCAAGCTAATTCCCATGATTTACACTTATTCTAGCTTTTAGACAAGCTCCATCACTGAGATTTGCCTTACCTAAAATTTATCCTTAGGACCTGCCTGCAACAATCAGTCCCAACAGCAGATTTGACTGATTTATATCGCAACCTATCTCCTACACTCATGGAACTTATTTCCATAGCTGGCACCTTTGGCATCTCTTCTACCTCTTTCATGAGACTATATTTCTGATATGTCCCTCCCTGCCTGTTGACTTCAACAATACTTAATAGCAAGGTGTGGTTCCAAACAGGTGTTCTACAGTGGAATAGCCAGTTCAAAATAGCCCCCACCTACTCTGTCCTGGCCATTCAGCCGCCGCCTTACCTTGCAATCCATCACGCACTGAGTTAGATCAGCGTAATTATTTGTAGAGTTGTAGATTTACAGTTATTTGGGTTGAAACAAACAATGTGATAGCGCTTACAGTGCAATCCTTAAACATCTGTAGCAGTTCAGCTGAGCACATGACAAACTGGACCAAAGAAATAAGCAGCGACCTCTTAAACTGGCTTTACCAATGGTGACACTGTAACAAGGAAGTACTTCTGCAGTTGGATGTAAACACTCCGATTTACATAATGCAAATTTGACCCTTCCTCTAAACACTTCTGACTATCTATAATGGTAGGTTCCACAAAACCTTCAATGCTGAAGTTATATAGTGTAACTTCAGAATTGCTCTTAATGTTCTCAGTCTTTAAGAAGCTAGACAAAATGACAAATACATCTGGTCATCAGTGCATGTCTGGAGGAGGTAACTCCTAAAAATGGCTTCCTGAAGCATGACTTATCATTATGTATGCATCTTGGGGTATATTATAAAATTACTGATTTAATAAATATCAAATCTTTTTTTTTTTAAAACCAGAAGTCCTTAACTTAAATGAGCACAAAACAGTGAAACTCTCAGAAGAAAACTCATAAGGTATTTACACTAATGCAACTTTAATTTAGGGAGAGAACTACAGCATGTCCTTTTAAGAAATACGGTATAAATGTTGACTCAAAACCGCACAATTTTTAAAATTCTAGGTCTCATATTCTTGAGACCATTGTAACCCAGTTGCAGCTCCAGTAGAGTCGGGAATTTCTCAATCAGTAATATTCATAGCACCTCATCCAAGAGACTTTAATGAAAATAATGTATATTTGCATGCTGTGGAACTAAAAAAATAAATAAACCTCTGTCCTTGCCAGAAGTCACAATGCATGGATCCCACAGGGTTTGAAGTCCAGTGAACAATTTCTGGACCAAAGATCAAAGCATAGACTGGCTGCAGTTCAGGTGACACAGAATTTGGCCTTGGTTCTCCTCTGGGCCCTGTGGGATGGCCTAAAAATGGCATTACTATTCTGTGTCAGCTAGCCAATATTCTTTTTTACTTCAGAGTATCTGAAATAATATGAAAGCTATGTAGATACCATCACAGTGGATTTTTATAACATAGAACTTGGAATGTGTGTTGCATGCCCTCGACTGTAGCATGAGAAGGTATCTGAGGACAGAAATTTTTCTGGAACAGTATTAGGAAACTGTTGGCGAAGGAATCTAAGTCTGCTGAAATCCCATCCACACAGTCTTTTGGAAATGACTATCTCTAAACCCATGCTTTCATTCTGTCCTGGAAAAAGTAAGGCAGAAAAAATAATAATTAAGCAGCGTGGACAGTTAGGAACAGAAAAACTCAAGCTGTCTCTCCAGTCCTCTTTTATTTTGCAGTATAGATGTAACCTTCAAGTCTGGGGCTGCGTGAAATTAAAACAAAGGTCTAAGACAGAAACTTCCATATTGTGTTAAAGAGGGAAACACTGCATAAAGTTCACTGTTTATTGATTTTTGGAAAATCTTCCCCATGACTTCACATCAATAAAAAGAAAACACCATATAGAGTTATAAGCTATTAGTAATGAATTAAAACTGTACCTACATGTAGTATCAGCAAGAAAATCTGGTTACAGACACAACAAGGTGCTTGCATTTACCAAACTTGTTGCAATCCACTGTTTTAGGGTCAATAAAGATTTCCAGAATTGGTTTCATTGAAGATACTGAATTTCTAAGGCATTAGATCAGATGAACATACGCAGTCTCCAGCCAAATAACAATATAAAAATATGGAAGGGTTTGTGGATTTCTTTCTAGCAGAGAGAAATTTATGATGCCAGCTTTATACTTGATACTACATTACAAAATTATGTGATGTCAGTGTAAAAGATAATTACAGTCCTACTTGATTAGCAAAACATGTTTAAAAATTATAAGATTACACATAGCTTTATCAGCAAGGAAGAAAAGAAATAAAAATCTAATCTAATTTTTTTGAGATTTCGTATTACAGGTATAAATTTAGTGTATACTACAGAAACGGATCAGTAGTGATCTAGTAATGGTATAACTGCACTGCTACATAAAAAGACTGAATTCTAAACTCTCTTCTCTCTTCGAGGACAGGTTACAGTTACTTCAGAGGCCATCTGCTTGGACAAAGGGAATGGAAATCATACACCACGGATAAGGCATAAAGCTGTATCTTGCTGTCCTGAGTAATAATGCTAACACCTAAACCTTGTATGGAGAACAAAAGTGATAAAAACTTGACCTGAAGACTGTTGCATGGTTTAAAGTAGGAGAAAAAAATCTGAATAATCATTACATCTTTGAATGGTGAAGACATCCTCTTTAGTAAAACTGTATATGCTAGATTTCAAGCCGCTTTCCACTATTTTATGCTTACACTCTAATCTGGATTCACTGAGTTCACATGGTATCATATTTACCATTTTCTGTTCTAGGAAACACACAGGACATAAATCATGACTAAAGCTACAGAAGCACTCCTCAGCAAAATAGGACAGTCAAGAGGAACATACATTGCAAAATGTGAAACAGGACATATTAATGAAAACAAAATGAAAGCACACTTTAGTCTCAATATTGACCAGTATTTTGGTCCAGCAAAAACGGTACTGACTCATCACCCATAACTTACAAAGCATTACACTGGAATTCCCAACCTCTTTGTATGCCACATAATGGAGAGTGCCTAGATATCCCAAATGTCTTGGTCTCATGTCTAATTACCAGCTGACAATAACAAGTAGCTTCTGACAACATGGGGACACAAATCAGGCATTTACTAACACATAATTATTCCAATACAGTTTGTCAAATTAACAATTAATAACGCGTGACCTGTAAGGATCCTTTCATAACATTTTTAACTTCCAAAAAGAAAAATCATTCGGTGAATAAGTGTCCCAGAATTCCAAAGAAAATAGTGAGAATCAAACTGAAGCCATCCATGATAACATTTGGCAATTCAAAAAAATCCCATTCCCACACCTACTTTTCTGCCAGCCCTTCCAATAGCACTGCATTTAGTATTAGTAAGAAAAGCTGGTCACAGACAAAGTAGATTTCAGGCAGATAAATAAATGGAAAAAAAAAAACCCACATGAGGAAACTAATACCTAGGAAAAAATGTAAATGTTTATTCTGTAGATCTGAAGATTTGTTAAGTATGCTTTATGCCTAAAGCTGGAATACCAACTCAAGGTACAAAATAAGGGGAATCAAAGGCTACATATACACCAGTGCAACCCAATATAAAAGTGGCTATGGAGTTAGACAGTGGTGCAGAGTGTCCAACATCCATACTGTCTGTGTTTCAGGGTATTTATTTTGGACAAGCTCCTGTCTGGTCTCAGGGAACAAAAGCCTACTGGCAGCTGGGGAACATCTCCTGGCATAGTTTCATCCAAAAGGAATCTAGTTCATATGCTTAAACACCACTTTGAAATGTGAATCAAAGAACATTAAAGGATGTTTAAAGGAGATTTGTGCCAGAAGTGAATTCTTGATCAGGATTAAAAACATTATTACCAGACACATGCTACTACTAAGAAGGCACTTTTGTTTAAGCATTGGTCTCTTGCAAGGGAACTTAAAGGTTTTTATTTTCAAGTTAACAAAATAAATCTAGTAAGAAAGGCTCAATGATTAGAAGTTTGTGCATATAAAATTCCCGATTTTAGAAAGACATATAATTAACATACATTAGAAAACTGGAGATACCTGATTAGCAGGAAGACAGCTGCTGGAACAACGAATAGGAGGCAAGTTATCTTGTCTTTCCTGAAGTGTGTCTGTTCTCAGGTACTGTGGTTTCTTATCATCTTCATTCATTTCTGTCACCCAGGTCTGAAAATAAATACATAAAATATTTGTACCTTAAAGCAGTAAAGCAGATATACTTCACAGTCTACAATCACCCTAACAACTGTCCTTATAAGGCACTGCTCTTAATGGGGAAAAGCTATTAAGACAAAAAGCAATTGTGTTTTTTTCAATAAAAAGTAATCTACAAAAATATCTGTAGAGTTAAAATGGATATTAAAGATTAAGTGGCATTAATTCAATGAAATAATATTAAAAAAACAACTCAAAACATAATCCTTTGATCATTTCCTCATTTAGTCAAATAACTACATTCCACTCAGGCACGAGAAGAGGAAGATTGATACATCAAAGTGATTATATTACTGACCATTATAAATTAGAGTTATACTGTACCATCAGTTCACTATTAATTGATTCCCATTCTTCAGCTGTGAAATCAGAAGCTGTGGCTGCAGGTTTATCTTTTCTTAGAGCTCTGCTCCTTGGATCTAAATGCTCAATACGCTTTTCACAAAACAAGGTAAGTTCAGGATAACATCCCTCTTCACCAGACCTTTAAATTGCAAAGATATAAAAATTACAAAAAAAGAACTAAACTGCGCTGTGTCCTCTATACCTCTCTGCATGTGTAGTCTGTCTGTAGTCACCACAGTGACTGCAGAGGACTATTTTCCTGTTACAAATGAATTCTACTATCACTTAATAACATTGACCAGAAAATTCCAGTGAGTCAACCTTCAACCATTTTCCAATGGACACGCATAGACAGTTCAAAATTATCATCACACTGCTCATAAAAAACGCTCTTATGATTTTCAGCAAAAGTAAAACAGGTATGGATGGCTTCATGACAGAACCAAAAATCCAGTGGCAGCATTTCAGAAAAACTGGCATAGAGTTACTCAAATCTTTTGCATGGTTAAAACAGGACTTGGATTTCTAGTGTTATCATTTGGACACTTTTAACATAACAAAGGATACCCTAACCCTAACTTTGTATTTTAAATTAGAAAGTCACAAAGAGATTCAAGACAAATAAGAGTATTTAGATATGGGTTCCTTCCGACTTTTACAGAACAGGACTATAGTTAGTAATGAAGTTAAGAAAATATAATGCTTACCTTAATACCCTGAGAATCTTTTCCAGGTGTTTAACATCTGTGCATTTTTCAATGAACTTGTAGTCCAGATGACCAATAGGTATTTGATATGTTTTAGTGGTTCCTTGGTCCAGCAAAAACGGTACTGACTCATCACCCATAACTAAACATTAAAAGGAAAAAATGTAGTGATTCTGTAGGCACTCAGTTATATTTTGAAGCAATGCTAATTTAAGGAGTAACCTTGCTCACACTCTAAAGTACTACTCTGTTATGCAAGCGGACCTATTGCCACAAAAGAAAAATTTCAAATTTGAAGACCTGATCACACAAACTGTTCTTGACAGAGGTTTACTGACAGATGTACGGTTACATTTTGGAAAAATATACATATTATATGTATAATGAATATGTACAGCTCTACTGCTTCTGCAAGGCAGAACAAGTCAGAAAGACTGCTTAAAGAAAAATTGTCAATTTTTGCCTACCACATTCTCCATTTTTCTTTAAATACAATATGATATTACAAGTGTAGTGTAGTGAGGATGAAGGAGAAGATAGTGCAGGACCCTCTACTTCTTTCAGAGGGAAGACGTTAACTCAGTGTACCTAACAGAATGATAACCTTTGCCTTCTCTGTAGCCAAAATAAATCCAACTGTTTGCCTTCCCTCACTAACTGCATTTTCTCGGCCTGTGATTATATTACTCTACTAATCTGAATCTTTTCCAGTGAGCCTGTAATGGATGAAGTGAGGTGTTCAAATGGGACACTTCCTTCCTGCCTCCCTGTACCTTTGATTAGTTTATCTGCATCTTTTTCTATTTTGATTCCAAGCTCTACGGAGCAGAAATTCTTCCTCTCTTGCCCCGTGTTATATAGTGCTTAAAGTGATCAGTTATTTTTAACAAGTATGATAAGGGCAGTTATCTAGTATGTGGTAACAACTACGTACCGATATAAACCCAATTAAAATAATTGTGTTCTAATGTCTAGCATAATTACACATATTAATTTGTAGTTGCACAAAAATGTTTACAATACAGTATCACTTAAACAATAACAGGTTATAATTAGGCACTGCATAAAGACAGAATTCTGTCCCAAGAATTTACGGTTTCAGTACAGGAAAAGAAATTACATGCGTGGAGGGACAGATGAACATAGGAAATACTTAGGAGTAAAAAGCAAGAGGCACTCATCACAAAGGCACAACATTTTATCCCGTTTCAGTATTTCCATAAACGTTACGAACAGGGAGTTCCCTCGAGTGCCCAGAGCAGCTCTCAGGCAAGGCGGTACCAAGGAGCCCTCGGAGCGCCCCGAAGCCCCAGCGCCCTGTCGTGCTTCGCAGCCGCTGACAATACAAGGTTCGCTCCCAGGAGTCAGGAATTTACCTTCGAATCCCAGGCCGAAGGCTCCCTCCCCTCACACCGCGGCCGCAGCCGGGGCAGCGCGGCCAGCCCTTGCCTAGCAACCGTTGCTACGTACAACATGGCGGCCAGCGGCGCGCAGAAGGCGCCCGGGCGAGCGGCAGACAAGCGGGGGCGACGCTGCGGACACGGGGCTGCCTTCCCCAGTGGCCCCCTTCCGAGGCTCCCACAGAGCCGCGCCGAGCTCCAGCAGTGGCACTGGCGCCGTGTGGCGAGCGGTCTCCAACACCCACCTGCCCGGTGCGGCGCCGTCTCCAGGAGACGCACGGAGCCCGGCCCGGCGCTCAGCCCGCCTCGGGCCCCGCCCCCGCGCATGCGCAGCGCGGCTGTGGCGTAGGTCGCCCCGTTCCTCCGCCGGCCTGAAGAGAGCGGGCTGGGGCACAGACAGAGCCCAGCAGGACACTTGGTGATAAGGGCATTTTGGTATTACTGAACACACATTCCAAACAGACAGATGCGAAAACTTTTGGCTCACCAATACAAACCAAGGCCTTTGATCTTGTTGTTACAGACCCCTGAGAAGCCATCTGAAAAGCAAAACAAGGTGCTCATCCAGTTTTGGGATGCTCCCCGAAGTATCGTTACAGCACAGACCCACTTCTTTCCTTGAGCACAACTACGTCAAGAAGCACTTCGGGAATTTCTGTTTGCACATTGCTTCTTCACGTTTATCTTGCCCCCCTCCCCTCTTCTCTTCCGAGAGATGATTTTTTTTGACGCTTCCTCCACAGCTGAGCGCCTGAATTGGGTGCTCTCAAGTCCTTTGAGATTCGCTCTTCTGAAGTCCAGGCCTGTGTTTCACACGCAGCCTTGTGTAGCCTTCTATCCGTTTTCCGTAGAATTTATTCAAACCACAGTCACGCAGTTCACAGAGAACATTTAACAAAGTTAAAACGCAAATAAAGTTCAGATGAGAGTAATGAAAACAAGGTTAACTCGAACACAATACCACTGAACTTAAAATATTACTGCATACTCTGACAACAATTTAAACGACAGCTTTAGAAGTCTATTGCTGGAAGACAGTATAGACAAAATTTAGCATCACAGTAAACTTTAATATTGAAATATCTTAAAACACAAATAAGAGCATGCATTTGTACACCAATGGATTTACAGAGCAAAGTCATCAGAAAGACTAAACTGCAGCATGAAATCATTTTATCTCAGCAGAAGTCATCGGGCATCAAAAACCACCACTGGAATAGTGCAGCTAAAGGAAAAAATGTATTGTGGTTGAAAAAAGATCAGGGACAAGAAAGAGAGAGGGGAAGAAAAAAAAAAAACAAACCCAAAAGAAAGACTGCCTAAATCTAAAGTCACAACTAACTATATAAAAGCATTTGAAAACTAATCTTTAATTAACCCCACAACACCTTCCTTTTTTCAAAAGGCTGGCTAATATCAACCGTTCACAGAGCATCACCCACCAGACTATCACAGCTTATTCTATTTTGCACAGAAAATGGAAAAAGAGAAAGTGTCAGGAAAGAAAACAAGATCCACAAGTTTGCTCTATTGTATCGATTTGGGGCCTTGAAGGATCCTTACATAATTACTCAAATTTTTCATTCAGTTTCCCATATATAGCTTGTCTCCATCCACAGAGTCCCAAATGCATTCAAGTGCACACATAAAAGGATACATCTTTTTGTCCTTTTCTTGTACATTATTCTGTAGCCACATTCTCTGCATCTGATAGGATCTCTTGCCTTTATTTCATTTTCTGTATGACATTCTGATGTGATGGAGGAAGAGAAAGGGAGTGGGCAAACAAAACCAGCATTGTTAATGCATACATAACTTTCAAAAGTCCTAATAGTCAAATTCCTATCTGTGGCAAACAAAGCACAACAAAAATAATTGTAGTGAATTTGTATCAAGAGCTGAATGACATCAAGATACTGTGAAAAAAAAAAAAGCAAACATAACTTATACTAAGATCAAAGAGGATCCTGCTAAAAACCACTAAATTATTACTGCATGGAATACATTCCACTCTTGAAACAACTACATTGTCTACTAATGAAAACTTCAGCTCAGTCCCCCAAAGCCCCATGTTTATTTTCTTAAAAGACAAAATATTTCAGGGAATCCTGAAGTGACTACCAAAAAATACCAATTTTTAAGTTGTTGACTTATCCATAGGTAAGACAGAATTTGAGTGATGCCACTTCAATAAAAGCTTAATAAACACCCAACATTTTCAAAAAACTCCAAGATGCACTAAATAGAAGGTCTACTATGCACGACAAACAGACACTTCAAGAAAGCATCCTCTGGAGATGGAGGACATCCACATAGCAAGACAAGCTCTAGTGAATGACTTCCACATCACTGTCCCTCTATACCACATATATGGTACCATCAGCATGTAAAGCTTTAAACAACATCAGGATTCACACTGCAACTATTTGTATTTATGTACTCTTCAGTATAAAGATTATGAATTCTTCCTTATTAAGACACCAATTCTCCAGTAACAAGTAAAGAAATCCACTGATGTCTTTTCTTTACCTCCACAAATGTAAATCATTGGCTGCTGCTTCGGAGGCTGAATATCCTTCTGTGAATCCATGTTCTAAACAAAAAACACACAACATGCACATCAGGTTTGGGTTTTTTTAAATTATTTTTTCAATGCATACACAATAATTTCAATATCTCAATCTAAAGCTAACAAAAGATTGAAAACTTCCTTACAAGTAAATACAAATAAACAAATTCCATCTGTATTTGATACACAGGACATTGGGTAATTCAGGTTGGAAGAGACTTCAAAAAGTCATTTAATTCAACCTTTCAAAAGCAGAGTAATGTCAGGTTTCTCAAAGCTTTAACAATCTGGTATTGAAAACTTCCAAAGACGGAGACGGCACATTTTCTATTAAGCAGGATTTTAAACATTAAAGGTCAATGAGTAATATTTTCTTTCCTCTCTCCCTCCTGCCAGCAGTAAGAATTTCCTTGCTGGAAACATAAAAATAAATTATTTCTTATGTATCTTACTCATGTAACAACAGTGCTGTCATAAACAAGATAAGCCTTGTTATATTTTTTCCCCTTCTAACACAACACTAGATAACCTAAATCTACCTTTTCATTGATCTAAGGGATTAGAAATCCTGGCAACAGACTGTAGGTAGAAGAGTAACAGGGATTTAAAAAAAAAACCCACAACAACAACGAAACAACCCCGAGGGGCCAGAGAGAAGAAATTCCACTCCCAAAATCCTAACATAGGTATATATGATTACCAAAACAATGAAGAGTTTGATAACTCAGTGGTACTCTTCAAACACCTCTTAATGCCCTATAATGGTTTTGATTGTTCAAACTTATTTGAAGACAAGTATTCCTTTACAGTATAAGACTATATAGTTACAGTTACTCAACAAACATTCTATCAAGCTTTAAGTAATTCTATTCTAATGTGTAAATAGGGTTGCAACCATAAATTAAGGTTGTTACTGTAATCACCAGATAGTAAACACTTTTTTTCCCACCCAATGCAAGTCCAGACTAGAAAGTGAATATCTCCTTGTAGTTTTTTTTGAGGCTGCTGTTTTCTGTGTCACTGTTCTGCCTGACAGTGAATAGCCTTCACGATGCTTCTTTATGAGCACGACTCTGGATGCTTTTGCTTAATATCATGGTATGGAATATTTCCCTGATCTTCACAGTAGTTTCAGTGCAAATTCAGTTGAGAAAACTAGTCTGTTGAAAACAGAAGGACAGGCTTGACAGAAACAGTTCATCCTTCGTTTACGGGAATCTGATCAGCACTTGAGAAACCACCTTGTTAAAAGCCACATTATGCCACTCCATTTGAGAGAGCTGGAGATAATTCATCAAATTGTATAGCTTTCAAGTAAGGCTTTGCTCTACCATAACCATAGGGGCATCTTGACCCACATGTGTTATAGTCTTTTTTGTGTCAGTACATCATAGCAAGATATAAGCAGGCATCCATTAGCACTTGAAAACAGCATCATCTTCTAGAACACGGAGCTGAACTGAGGACCACTGTCACAGCTAAATAGCTTGAGCTGGTGCTGCTCGTGCAGCGAAACGATGCTGCTGCTAAAGACAGCAGTGACCCACAGCGATGTACTTTGCAGGGGGGTGCCATGGTTCAGCTGGCCTTCACGCACGCTGCAGCTGGAAGCGCTGCCAACCTGACAGAGCTGACAGGCACACGGATGCACCCATCTGCACTGGGGTGCAACCGGAACCCACCACGAGGTCGCGGAGCACCGGCCACGCTACCGGTGCGGAGGGAACGCCACACGTACTTTTAAGAGAGGCAAACCGGCTCCTTCGCCTCCCTCTCAGAGCCCGCGGAGGAGGACGGGCCGCCTTCCCTTCCTCACAGCCCACCGGCCCATCAGCCAGACACCCCAGCCCGCCCCAATTCTGCACCAGGGCCTTCCCCATCGCCCCGCGGGGCTTTTACACAGGCGGGAAGCCCACGAGGCCCAGACCTCTCACTACTCGCCACCGCCATCCCTCGTGCCGCAGAGGGAACCACCGGCTCCGAAGAGAGAAGCTCGAAAACCCAAGGGAGCCCGAGCCCGCACTCACCTAC